TGCACACCACCTCCACCTCCTCCATCTCCAGGTTCTCCAGCGGCGCCTGCTGGGGGGAGGGCGCCCTGCAGCGCCATGCGAAGCGCCTGGGCCACGCCGCTGAGGCGCTGGCCGCGGTGGGCGTCGATGGCGGCGAGCGCCGCCAACAGGTGCTCCGCCGCCCGCCCGTCCGCGCGGCGGTACTGGGCGCAGCGCTCGGCGGCGGAGCGGCTGGGCAGCCGCGGCCGAGGCGCCGGCGTCGCCATCCCGCGGCGCACGAGGGGGGCGAGGCGGGAGGGAGGCGGGGCGAGGGGCGCCCTGGCGCTGGCTGGCGCGCGCGGCCCCAAAGGGCCTCAGGCCGAGCTGGCGCTGTAGGAGGAGGAGGAGGAGGAGGAGGAGGAGGAGGAGGAGGAGGAGGAGGAGGAGGAGGAGGAAAAGGAGGAGGAGGAGGAGGAGGAGGGAGGAGGAGGAGGAGGAGGAGGAGGAGGAGGAAGAGGAAAAGGAGGAGAAGGAGAAGGAGGAGGAGAAGGAGGAGGAGAAGGAGGAGGAGGAGTTGGAGGAGTTGTTCCACCCACCCACCCGCAAGCGCCGAGCGAATTGGAGTCCTTCCTGAGAACAGAGGGCACAGACAGGAGCAAACGCCCTCTGAGACCCAGGAGGGACCTTTGAGAGTGCACGCCCCAACCCGGCGGGGACGCCTCATGGAGGACGATGAGAGAGCGAAGGAGAAGAGAAGACGACGAGCCGATGGGAGTAGAACGAGGAAGAGGAGGAGGGAGGAGGAGGGGCGGTGGGACGCGGGCTTTGACGACATCGCCGAGCTCAAACAACGCTCACTTTATCTCCCTTCTCTTCCTCCTTAACCATCCTCCTCGGCTTTGTCATCCCCTCGTGCTCATCCTCTTTCTCCTCCTCCTCCCTCTTCGTCCTCGATCCTGGACCGACGTTTCGCCCTGTTTTGTTGTTCGCTCCCGCATGGCAGCCAAGGTAACTGGCGAAGTGATGCAAGAGGCGCACCTGGCACGCGCTGCGCACCTTGCGTGCGTCACGCACCTGGCGTGTGCTTTGGTTCCCACTGGCTGGCCATCTAGTGGCGGCCCTTGCCGATGATGAGACCCGGGTGCTACGTATGTGGGAAGGCGGGTGGGAGTGCAGGAGACGGCCGCTCTTCGGGGGATAGCTTGACCCTTCCCCCTGGCCGCTCCCCTGGGTCTGAACGGAGGTGGCCCGCGAATGGTCAGATCGCCCAAGATGGCTCAATATTGCGTCAAGAAGGCCTGTGATAGTCCAAGATGGCCTCCAGCATGGCTCAATACAGTCCAACATTGTTAAAGACGATCTCCAACATGCCTCCCTGAGGCCCCAAGTCAACTCCAAGACGGTTCCAAGTGGTCACGGAGCGTTGCAGGAAGATCCCGGAGAGGCCCAAATCACTCAAACACCTAAGCTGTGTCAATGTTTCTGTCAGTATCGCATGTTCGCTTCCGAACGGGACCCAGATGCTTGAATATGGCCCAGAGATCACCCAAGAGGCCCCAAGAGAGGGCCACTACGGGTCCACGACGGCTCCAAGAGTGCCCAAGAGTGCCCCAAAAACGTCCCAATTGGGCTCCAAGAGGCGATCTTGCGGGGTCGAGAAGGGCAACGCTAATACAGGCCGTCCCCTTGTTTAGTAGCTTGCCTTCAAGATGGCCACACGAGGGCCATAAGGCCTCCAAGAGGGGCCCACGGTAGCCCCCTGAGGACCCCAAAGGATCTTCAAACGGGCCCCAAGAGAGCTCCAATATGGTCCAAGAGGCCTCTCAGAGGCTCCGAGAGGTCCCCAAGAACACGAATGTCAACAACGTGTTTAGGATATGATTGTCTATTCCATTGTTTTCCGACATCGCCTGGGCATCGCTTCTGGATAGGATGGCGCGGATACGCGAAACATCCTATGTTACACTCCGCGCGGTGCCATTCATTGTCGTCTTGCCTATGGTCCGTCTCACCGCTCATCCCTTCCTCATCATCCGTGTTGCCACCACTCCACTGCATTGAGCCCTGAGGATGGAGAGGCTCCTCAACGCCGACAACGCCTGCAAGTTGCCCGCCAAGCCCTTGGCCTTCTGCACGTACTCCTTCACGCATGGGCGGCGCGCGCGCTTCACAAGCGAGACGATTGACCATCGCCCTCGCGCTCCTCTGCCTAGTTGCCCTCGCTACGGCCACGCCTGCGAAGCTTGTCCAGCCGCGCACATACCTTTCAAACCTCCGCGAGCCTGCAGGCAAGCTGCCCCTGGACCCAGACCTCGGGAGGGCCGCGCCCTTTGGCCGCTATTCTCCGCCTCCCCCAGGCCGTCCCCATGGTCTTCCCCGCTGCCTGCGCCTGCTCCCGCCGCTGCCCCGAGGCGCTGTCAGACAGACGTGCGGGGGCTTGGCGTCCACAGCGGCTGCGGTGGCCTGGCGGGACACCGTGAGGGATTAGAGAGGAGGGAGGGATGAGAATTGAGGGGAGAGTGGAAGGAGGGATGGATGTGGATGGATGGGGCTTGAGGGTGGAGAGAAGATGGACTCAGCCGGCGCAGTCGTTCTGGATGGCGAAGGAGGGAGGACAGAGGCTGGAGGGAAGGAGGAGCAGGGAGAGGGAGGAGGAGGAGGAGGAGGAGGAGGAGGAGGAGGAGGAGGCACTGCGGTGGCCTGGCGGGATCTCTTACACCCTCAACATTAGCGGTACCATATGGTATGAGCCTCCCTCTCTAGCGACGCTCCACATTGCTGGAGGGTGGGCTCACGACTCCCCTGACTCACAGTACCACAGTGAGCTGCAGCTCTTGTATTACGAATGTTGTTTATATCATGCGAGTTCTCAGTCAGTTGGCCTTGGCCGCGTGTGCACCCAGATCAAACTCCCACCATGGTTGAGCAGCTGGATCGAATATCCCTTGGTTTGCGGCCTAAGGTCCTGAGCAAGGCCGAGGAGACTGCTCGTGGCTGCAATGTGAAATTAGCACACGGTTGGTTGGCACTCATTGACTTCGTCACGAACTCATACTCATGTTGATACTCAAACTCCTCATTCTCTGCCTCTCGTCATCGTTATCATCATGCGCATCATCACCGGCACATTCATATGAATATTCCTCCTTCCCGTCGCCTACATCGTCAACATGATTTGAATCACCGTCGTCGTCGCCACCGTCGTCATTATCATCATTACCAGTACCATCATCATCACCATCATCATCATCATCATCATCATCATCATCATCATCATCATCATCATCATCATCATCATCATCATCATCATCATCATCATCATCATTATCATCAGCATCAGCATCAGCAGCATCAGCATCAGCAGCATCATTATCGCCAGCGCCATCGCCATCGCCATCGCCATCACAGTCACCATCATCCCTCCACCTTCTCAAACATCCAATTTCTCATTTTTGCTTCTGCGAGAGGAGGGAGCGGACCACTGCAGACGACGATTGCGGCAAAGAGCGAGCCTGATAAACCAAGCGATCAGCAAGGTGAAAGCCGTGAGCTGCGAGCGTGGCGGAAATCCCCTTCCCTAAGATCCATCTGCTACTCTCCCCCTCTCTCTCCTCGAGGTTCGCCGCGGCAAACTCCGCGAGCCCCAAAATGTTCAGCAAGGTGACGCCCACACGGGAGCCGTGCGTGGACCCGACGAGGCACACCACAGGCACTCCTCCCCTGTACAAGTGGCTGCTCGCACACGTTGATCCTCCTCATGCTCCTCTCCCTACTCCTCTATTTCCCGTGCCTTCATGCTCGTCCTTCTCCTATACATCCTCCACCTCCTCATCCTTTTCCTCCTCCTCCTCCTCCCTTTCCACTTCGACTCCTCTTCATCTTCCTCATCCAACTCATCCCCATCCTCCTCCAGTCCTCCCTCCCTCCCTCCCTCCACATCGCGTCTTCCCCTGCCTCCCCACATCCGATTCCTCCTGCTTCCCAACCTGGTCGTCACGCCCCTCCTGATCCTCCCCCTCTTGGTCGTCATACTACTCTTCCACAACTCAATGGAGAACAACTTGGAGTCAAACGGGGAGGGTGCCTGGCCGAACCGGAGTACGGCGAGGATGCGCGGAGAACGCTTGTCCAGGAGGAGGAGGGCTGGATAAACAGCCAGGACGAAAAGCTGGATGGGGGTTCGGACGGGAGTCGGATGGAGCGAGGGATGCGGGAGAACAGGTACCGAGAAGCAAACTTAACGTGGACAGGTGTACCCAAATTTGCTGACTGACTTGAGACAAGAGCGCAGCCCGAACGCACATGGTTTTAGCAATGCCTGCTGCTGCAGCGGCTCGAATACAGAAGTTATGGAATGCACTGGCGCCGGATGCGAACCTGGACGGGGGAGCTTTGTCTTTCGGGGGGAGGGGCGGAGAAGGAGCGGACATCTGAGAGGCCAAGTGCAAAGGAAGTGCGGGCTTTGAACACGAGTTCAAAAGCTTAGTGCTTACCTACCGCGTAGCTTGGCTGGGAGGGGCAGAAGGTTTGGAACTAGAGGGGGAAACGCGCTGGCAATTGGACCGCCCGGGCCCTTTTGATGACATGGGCGTCATACAGAACACCCCTGGCACGAAATCTTGCAGCAAGAACGCCAGGGATAGATCTTCGAATGAACGTGGATATCCGAGATTGGAACCATGCATCGTCAAAAACTTTGGACACTTGCTGACGCGATGTAGGGGCGGGAGAGCGCGGGGCCTGCAAGGGGCCCCCCGAATGGTCCCCCAACAGACCCCAAGAGACCTCCAAGAGGCCTCCGGTCTACGACCTGGGAAAACGCAGCAGCGTACACAGTACATCAATAAGCCACAACAATAATGATTGCAATGAGGCTGGTCAGACACCTAAACAAGGGTGCTCACAAATCGTGTGACAGAGACTGGCGGATCAGCTAGCATGCTGTTCACCGTCAAGTTGGAGAAGTGTGAAGGCACGGGTCACGCGTATGGATACTCCACGAAACGGGCCCCACATTCGATCCTTCAAGGTAGCTTACACTGGCCGATGAAGATGTGACATTGTTGCGGTGTTGGCCTTGCCATGTGGCAAGGCCAAATGAGATCGACCGGTGGCCCTCGCAACCGGTGAATCATACCACTCAGGTGCACGGGCAAAGAGTTGCACAGACGGGTCGCATAAGCATGCCAATGCGATGCACTGGCACACCGAGCAGCAGAGGCCCAATTGGGCATGCGGCTTTTGATCTCCTGCCCAACGCTTCCTCGTCATCTGCATTCCCGCCATTCCCCACCATCATCGTAAGACCCCTAGAGGCAACTGTCGTTCCTTATCCTCCTCAAAAGTTCCCCTGGAGCCCCCTAGAACCTCTGTCACCCGTAACCCCCCCGAAAACCAGATTCCCTTAAACCGATGCGAATACCAAAGAGCCCTCAATCAACTAATCCTTCCCCTTTCTTCTTCTCGTCCCCCCTCCTCCTCATCCTGTTTCCTCTCCATCGTCGTCGTCGTCCCATCCCCCTCCTCCTCCTCCTCCTCCTCCTCCTCATCCTCCTCCTCCTCCTCGTCCGCCTCCTCCTCCTCGCCCCCTATCACCACACCCCCCACTCGAGCCCATGAGCAGGGTCTCGCAGGAGGTGGTTGTGTTGGAGTAGGGGAAGGTGTCCAAGGCGACGTCGACCTTGCCAAAAGATGAGGAGAACGACGACGACGACGACGACGAGAAGGAGGCGCAATAAGAGCACCCCACCCAATAACGGATTGAGAGGAGGCCCAAAACTGGCCTGCTGCGGTAAGCCCCTGTAGTGCCGACGGGTCCCGCGATTCCGCGGGCGGCAGGGGCTGGAAGGGGAGGAAAGGGGAGGGGAGGTGCGGCTGGAAATGGGGGACGACGAAGGAGACACAAATCTTGCCATAATGCCAGAATAGAAAAAGAAACAACGGAATCTGCCGATGCTGCCTTTTTGACGTCCGATGGGCCCCGGGGGCCTTCACATGACTCCAAGTTGGCCCCAAGGTCGACTCCAGGAGGGACGGAGACATACCAAGAGGGGCTCTACCCTCCAATTCACCCCCTGAGGGCCCAAGAGGCCTGCCAAGTGACACAAGCCGAACCCAGGCTGGCACCCGAGGCCGCTTCGACAACCTCTAGGACTTCCCACCCGCACCAGAAAGCCCGAATGGCTCCCAAAAGGCTGCCGAGATGGCCCAGAAGAGCGTCATTACTACAGCAGGCATCAGCAAACACAGTCAACGTTCCACATTTGTGAGAGAGGAAGCCTAGGGCTCCCAACTTCGCGCTTCGCGCTGCGCGAAGCGCGAAGCGCGAATAACTTCGCGCTCTCGCGCCGCCCTCCCAAAAGGAGAATAGGAGGACGAGGAGGAGGGGGAGAAGGAACGAGGACCGCGAAGCGCGAAGCGCGAATAACTTCGCGCCCTCGAGGGAGCCCTTGGAGACAGACACAGAAAAGGTCGGAATGGGACGCAGGCGACGTGGATCAATGAAGCTGCTCCTGCTGCCTGAAACTCTCTGAAGGGGCGGGGGTGTTCACCAACTTCTTTCGGGGAGAGACGTAAGACCCGGGTACGGGGGACTCGGAAATCCCCGACGAGGTCGTCAAAAAAATGACGAGGCCGAGCCTGCATTTTGACGAGGCCTCCCGCTGCAGACATCCCACAAAACTCCTCCTCGTCAAAATCCGAGTCACGGTCGTCAAAAAACGATGGCGAACCCGAGTCCCGGCAAACCCGGGTCTTACGCTCCCCCGATTCTTAAGGGTAGATGAGTGCAGGGAGAGCGGGAGAGACGGAGGGGCAACGCAAGGGAGAGGGGGGCCCTGCCACCACACATCTGTAGCAAACAGCGTCTGCCTCCGTCTCTACGCGTGATTGCTGTCGAGCTGGGTCGGTCAGCGAACATCCTGGGGCACGCAGCACGCAACAGCGCTCGTCGCGACGTTTTGTCGACGCCCGGACACGATGGAAAGTGGAAGGCGCACAAAAGCTATGATAGGAGACCGATTTCTGACCACACCCACTTCCCGAGGTGCCTTGCGAACAGCGGTTTCCAGAGGTGGAGGTGGGCAGTATCCCCGCCCCAGGGGAAGGAAAAACTACCCACTTCCACCCCCGAGGGCCTATCATAGAATCGAGAATCCAGTGGATGTGGTCAGAAATCGGTCTTCGATATGAGCCAAAACCTGCAACGGCGAGATGTTTGATTGCAGCCTCGCAGCCCGGACCTCTCGGACCCCCTCCCGAGAGCTGCCCTGGCACGCCCGACATGGGCACGGGGGGAAAGGCGGCCGCGCTTCCGAACAGCAGACGGTGCCATTAGACTCGGTAGCGGCCGCTGTTGGGCAGGCGACGCTGGCCCTAGGTAAACAAGCGCCGCGGCGACATGGACAGTCAGAATGGGCAGGATCTGCTGCTGGTCCTCTTTCCCCCTTTCTTTCGGTCCCCCCCTTTTCCCCCCTGCTGGGCGTTGCATGGGGACATGTCTTAGACATGTCTTCGACGGCGTCCCCTTGTTTCACGGCCGCGCCACTTCGTGTCCCACCGCTTTGCCAATGTACCTCTGACGTGCACGGCTTCGCTACCTCTCTCTCTCTCTCTCTCTCTCTCTCTCTCTCTCTCTTCGGGGAGACGAAAGACTCGGGTTCGGGGGACTCGGGTTGGCCTGACGGGGCCACCATGAAAATGGCGAGACCCAGTCTGAAATTTGACGCGAGCTCCCGCTGCGGACATCCCACGAAATTTGGACCGTCAAGATCCAGGACGCGCTCGTCAAAAAACGTCGGCAGACCCGAGCCCTGGCGCACTCGAGTCTTACGTTTCTCCGATCTCTCTCTCTCTCTCTCTCGCTCTCTCTCTCTCTCTCTCTCTCTCTCTCTCGGTCTCCCTATCTATCTATATATATATATATACATATATATATAAATAAGTGTATATATATAGATGTCTTGTCTTCTTCGGTCCCCGTTCCGGTCGTGGCGCCGACGGCCTCGCGTCCCACAGGCCGCCGTGGCCGCCAGGCGCGGAGGGTGGCGACTCCCTCCCCCCCCCCCCCGGCGCGGCTTGCTCGAAGCTCGCGCCGCCACGGCACAGGGAGGACCCCACTCGGCGGCGCACAGAAGAGGGGCGGGGGGCCACTCGGCGGCATACAGAGAGGGGGGGGAGGGCGAGGGGAGGGGGCGGGCCCTGCAAGCTTCGAGAGGAGGCAGGCTGGTAGACCCCCCCCCCAGGGAGCAGGCCGGCCCTGACCAGACCGAGGAGGAAGCGGGGTGAGGTCGGTCGAGGCCGGGCAGAAGTGCTTCCCCCCTCGGAAGGGTGGGGTGTGCGCCCCCGTCGAACATGGGGAATCCCCTCCTTCTCGGTCTGGTTGGGGGGCTCCTGTGCCCTGACCCCCCTCCCGCGATGCCATGACACGGCTGTCTCAGGATACGCCCCAGGACAATCCTAGAGCGCACACGGCGGCCCTCGTCATCTGAAACCCGCGCGGAACGGCAGGAGAGCATGGACATGCTCTGAGAGCAGCACCACCATGACACCTCGCCCCTCTGATGTCCGCGCGCCGCTGACAGGCCCGCGGAACGGATGAAGGAGTGAATTGAAGGGGCCCCAGGACACACAAATAAATACACACAAATAAAACAATCCCCCATATTTTCCCATATTTTCTGGGTTTCTGTCTTCCCGCCCACTTCCCATATTTTCCCATGTTTTCTGGGAAATCGGGGATTAATTGTGTCTGTGTGTTTCTTTTCCTCCTGGTGAAGGGGCGCATGGGGATGTGCACGCCAGAGGCGGGCAGCGGCAGCGGCTGGCGGACCCGGCGGGCGGTTCCTGGCGCCGTCCAGGCGCGAGATGTGTGCCTGCTGCGAGCAGGGCCGCGGTGGCACCGAGGCTTGCCAGCGGGCGCCCCCGCTTGCCAGCGGGCTCCCCGCGCATCGCCGTCGCCGCGAAGTGGGCCCCATGGGCCCGCGCGTCGACGTATCGCTCCCTGGGAGGCTCGAACTCCCGACCTTGAGGTGAACAGCCTCACGCTCTACGGCAGGTTCGTGTCGTGCCGACCCCAGCGCTGGTTTTTGACACCGCAGGGATCGTTCAACCTTGAACGATCGGCCGCTGCCGCAACGTCCAATCGTTCAACGTCGATCGATTCTGGTTCGCCAGCGGTGTTCAACCTTGAACGCCCACGCTGGGGTCGCCGCTGGTCGACACGACGCTAACCTACCGTAGCCAGCTGGGTGCGCCCCAGACGGGCGGTGGCCGGGAGGTCGGGCGGGCCCCGCCCACGGCGGCGAAGAGGCGGCGGCGGGCGAGCCCCCGCGCCGCCCGCTCGAGGGGGGGGTCGCCCAGCGCGCGGGCCTCCTCCTCCTCCTCCTCCTCCTCCTCCCTCCTCCTCCTCCTCTCCTCCTCCTCCTCCTCCTCCTCCTCCTCCCTCTCTCTCCTCCTCCTCCTCCTCCTCCTCCTCCTCCTCCTCCTCCTCCTCCTCCTCCTGCTCCTCCTCCCCCTCCCCGGCCTCGTTGTAGACCTTGAGGTGGTCGTACGAGGTCTGGGCCAGGCTCATCAGCTTCAGCCGGTGCTCCGCGATGCCGTGGGCCTTGAACTGGCTGATGAAGGATTGCTGGGAGCAGCTCGCTCTCTGCAGGCCCGGCCCGGAGGCAGCAGGGTGCGGTGGGCCACCTCCTCGTCGTCTTCCTCTTCCTCCTCCTCCTCCTCCTCCTCATCCTGCCCAGCCCCCTGGCGTCGTGATTTCGTTCGCAACGTCGACACGCAGGGGTCTGGACCCATTCCCTGGGACCAACTTGTCATCCTGAGCCGTTCTTGTTACGGTCCCGGGGCCTGGCGAGGGCCCCCCAGCGGCAGAAAACACATAAACACGCTATCCGCCGTGCTTTTTTCACGGCGCAATGGGTCTGGGTCCTCTCCCTCATCATCCTCATCCGGTTCCTCCTCCCCCTCCTCCTCCTCCTCCTCCTCCTCCTCCTCCTCCTCCTCCTCCTCCTCCTCCTCCTCCTCCTCCTCCTCCTCCTCCTCCTCCTCCTCCTCCTCCTCCTCCTCCTCCTCCTCCTCCTCCTCCTCCTCCTCCTCACGCCCGCATAGTTGCGCAGCTCGGCGCAGCGGTGCGCCGCCCACCCTCCGAATGGTCGTATGGGGCAGGAGCGGCACGCTCAGTCAAGTGCCCCAGCCATCGTGTCCAGCTTCTCCTCCCTCTTCCTCCTCCTCCTCCTCCTCCTCCTCCGGTTCCTGCCTCCTCCTCCTCCTCCTCCTCCTCGTCATCATCATCCTCGTCATCATCATCATCATCATCATCATCATCATCATCATCATCATCATCATCATCATCATCATCATCATCATCATCATCATCATCATCATCATCATCATCATCATCATCATCATCATCAGCATCATCATCATCATCATCATCATCATCATCATCATCATCATCATCATCATCATCATCATCATCATCATCATCATCATCATCATCATCATCATCATCATCATCATCATCATCATCCTGCTCCTCCTGCTCCTCCTGCTCCTCCTGCGCAAGGCAACTGGATACCCAGACATGCGCGCGTCTTGGAAGAAAAGCACGACGGCAAATGTGAGGCAATGTTCGGCCTCCGGGGTCCCTCGCCAAGCCCAAAGACGGTCAGAAAACGACTCAGGATGAAGAGCCGGTCCTGGGGGATGGATCGGGACTTCCGAGGACACCGCAATGAAAAAACACAGGACATCGCATGTCTGGACATTCAACGTTCAGCACGGGCACTGGACCCCAGGACTTCCAGGACCCCTGGGCCCGAGGACTCCCTAGAACCCCCAGGACCCCCCAGACATCCAGGACTCCAGACCCCCAAGGCCCTCTTGGACTTCTAGGAACAAGGCAGGATGCCTTCCACCTGACGGAGCCCCCCTGGACTAGACCCTCAAGACTCCCTCGACTCCCTGGGCTTCCAGAGACGCCCTGGACTCCGAAGGGGCTCCCAGACGCCCTGGACTCCGTGAGCACAAAATGCCACCTGGACCTCAGGGTGCAAGGCAAGAGGTTTTCCACCGAATGGAGCCTCCTCACGGGATGACAACAGGACAAATAATGCGCGGATTTCCTCTGAGGTCTCTTCCATATGGAAAAGCAGCAGAAGTGTCACGATGACGCGCGACTCGAATAGAAATACAAAGCGATGAACCTCGAACCAGATCGGCGTCACCGAAGTCGGCGCGATACGACCGCTCGCGCGCACGCGCATGCGCGCGCCTGGCCACCACCCGCAAGAGCACGCTATAAGTAGTCGCACAGCGAACCCCCAAGTGCCAACGCGCAACCGCGCGTCACGAAGGTCGAGAATCGCGAGAAAACCAAGTGAGCAAAACAATGAGAATATACTGGTCCAGAAATTAGTCCCATGTGTTTCACGCGCCACGAGTCCAAGACAGGTGCTGTTTCATGTGGTTGTTCGCCCAAGCTTTGCGGTCGCCCGCGCGGCCCCAATGTCAGCCCCCTGGGCACGGTACGGTGGACAAGGAAACAAACCCACGCTGGAAGTCCACCACTTGTTCCGCCGATGTCTTTCGAGTGCTTGAGCTTCGTGTCCCCCACTGACCTGTAGGCACTGAACGGATTGCCCTGAGGTCCTCAAGAATCCCTGGGATGCACAGAGACATACTAATACGATGTGTCCGCCTTGGAGGCGCGCGTCCGACCCGAACATATAGTATACCCATCTTGTAGCATATCGTTCCTCGAGCGGTGTGGCCAGAAAGCGCCCGCCACGACGCATGTACTATAAGATTTCTCGGTGCGCGCGTCGCCCCTGGGGGGGCGACGCACATATAGTATAAGTATGTTGGGGTGTTGCCGAATCCCCACTCCTCGATATTGAGGGCTCTGGTTCATACTCTTCGAGGCGCCAATCCTGGGCCTGTCGCAGGACTCTGTGGGCGAGACCCCTGGACAGTCCACGAGGCCCCCGAAACGCCCCCAAGAGCGCCCCAGGCGCCTCAAGATGGCCTCCAGACGGCTCGGGAAGCCTCCAGGATGCCCCAAGGGGCAAAACACGTGGATTTGGCATGAGGCGTTTGAAAGACGAGAGGAGATGGAATCAACAGCGCTTTTTACTCTGGTGGCCCGGCGGGGTATCAGGGAACCCGCTCACCACCCTTGCTCCTTAAACGGTTTGCGCCATCACGATTACGGAAATTGCAAGCTGCTGGTGCTCTCTGCGCCATGCGTGGGACAACAACGACTGGCCGCCACCACTCCACCCAATCAACCAACGAATTACTTCCACCTTTCTACGGCGCCTCTCCGAGGAATTTTGAACTCTCGTCGCTTCGGTCTTCCAACGCCGGCTTCTCGCAGATGGGAGAAGGCGTGCGCAACTTGAACTTCGTGTGCACGCACAGCGACCCACAAGCAACTGCCCGATGCGGCGTGGCTTGGCACCGGATCGGCATCGGCAGCAGTGGTTACGTTGGGGAGAAGGAGGAAAGGCGAAGTGAAATTCAGGAGGAGGAGGAGGAGGAGGACGGGAGGATCAGGAGGAGGGCCAATAGCTGGCTACTCTGACGTAAAGCGGAAGCGCTGGAGGTGATACCTCGCGCAAGGAGCGGGCGATAGCGCGGGGACTCACAAAAAGAAGCAGCTCTTATCAACAGAAACAGCTGCATGGCACGGTCGCCGCGAGAGCCCGGTGGGCTCCCGCGCCTCCACGAGAACCGCTGTGATATCCCAGCCCGCCGTGATATATCAAAACTGGAAAGAGCTTGACTTCGCTCGTGAGCTGCAACGTCGGCAGCGGTCGCACATTCCGACGTTGCATGATTCGACAAAGCAAACCGTCGCGGCCGCGCCAGGGCCAGGCGCTCCGTGCTCCGCGGGAGCCCACGCGCGCCGAGAACAGGAAGCTGCTCGACGCGACGGTCCCCATGTGTGTGCATTTCTTCTCTGGCGAGCTGTCTCTGTGTGAGTTCATCAGTTTGAGCGAGCATGGGCGACAGAGCACGAATAGATCTGACCGCCAGCGGATTTTCGGCACCGGTGGGCCAGGAGGCCCGTGGTACACAGCTGGAACCAGGAGCTCTGAAAGGGTAGAAGTCGCGGGGGGGCCCACAAAAGCGTTTCGCTCGCGACGTCCCCACAATCTGGGCGCAAACTGGCACGTGTAATAATGCAGCCTGGCGGCTCGTCCGTGTTCGAACTGACAACGAGCACGCATCTAGAGACGCCCCCCATTCGGGTGCCCAAAGTATATGCCTGCTACATCGCGATGACCACGGAGCCCTGAAACAGAGGAGTCTATGGTGTCAAAATAAGCAATCTACTTGAGAGCAACCACGAATCAGAATGTGAACGGGCCCGTGGTACACCCCTGGCCTGTTTCCCCTTCGAGTATGGCGATCATGGGCGATTTGACAACGTAAGTAGATGAGGAGGATGGCGATGAGGATGGTGGAAATCTGCTCAGAATCAATGCCTGGAGCCCTTCCGGGGATTCTCCTCGGCAGTTCTCCACTCCGAATCTGTCTCTGACGGTCCCTGGGCCCGAAAGAGGCCGCCCGCCCCGGGCCAATGCCTGGGGACGCGACAGCCAAGGCACGCCCCGGAAAAATCAGCCGCAAATCGAAGAATAGAATCTATATAGAAAGAACGACGGACGCGAGGGAGAGAGGAGATCGGGCGCGCGCGCCCGCCGGGCGCCACTGCCTGCCCTGGCTGCCTCAAAACTGGCACCCGCCGAGTGCGCGTGGCCGCGCCGCCGCCTCCCCCCGCCGCCACCTTCTGAAGACTGACGGCGCGCCCAGGGGGGCGGCGGGGCCCGCAACGGGGTTGTCCGAGGTTTTCGATGGCGCGCCGACTCGCCATCGCCCGGACGTCTATTCCCTTTCCGCGAGAGGGTCCAAGCTGCTCATCGATGGTCCTCTCCGAGGAAAATATGCACATGGCCATGCGATGCCAAGTCGAGGCTTTCTTGCCTCGGAGGGCTTTCCATCGGCCACACGCAAGAGTGACCCTGAGTAAGGGTGACCTCTGGTGCACGGCTTTTTGGGGGGGCGCGGGGGTGGGACCGAACACGAGCTCGCAAGACGCTGCTGCCGCATCGCGCTCGGTGATCGGGGGCCCAAGTGGGCCCGCACCAAAGGTCACTCCGGCGAAGGGTCACTCGTCTTACCGGAGGGTTCCAAAAGGGGTTTTCCAGAGAGCCCCCCAGGGGCCTCGGAACCTCGTCAAAACGGGGGGTGCGAAGCCCCTGGGGGTGTTAAAACCCGCCGCCTTCACTAATTTCAGCAGATCGCCGCGAATCGGTAACTTTTTTGGCGGAAAGCTATGATATGATTATGATGGGTGAGAAACGATAATGAGAGCCTCTGAAGGTCAAGAAACGATTTTGAAAGCTAAGAAACAGTGGCTGACCCCTCCTGGAAAACCCCCTCCCCCAAACCCCCCTTTGGAACCCTGCGGTCTTACGTGCAGTCGACTCCAGCAGCTGCGCCCCGCCGGGGGCGTTCCGGGCACGCCCGCGCCGCCCCGAGCTGGCGCCGGAGGCCCGAGGTGTGGCCCGAGAGCCGCTCGGGGGCGACGGGGGGCGGCCCTCCGAGGAGGCGGGGGCCCTCTCAGACTTGTCCGAAGGATTTTTTGTTTGCAATCCGTTGTTTTTTTTTGCAATCCTTCGACGAAGAATTTTGTTGTTGCAATCCTTCGGTTTTTTTTGCAATCCGTTGTTTTGTTTGCAATCCTAAGTTTTTTTTGCAATCCTTTGCAATCCTTCGTTTTTTTGCAGTCTCTGCCATGAGGGACAGCTCACTCAGAGGCCTCCCAGACGGGGTCGGAGTAGATGGGGTCGGAGGGTCGCCGACGCATCGCCGATGCATCGTCGCCGATGCATCGGCGACGCATCGCCGATACATTGGCGATGCACCGGCGACGTCGGCGATGCGTCGACGACGTCGGCGCGGAAGAAATCGGACTCCACATCGAGCCGCATCGCCGACGCATCGGCGACTCGGCGCGGCTCTCCGCCCCCATGTGCTCGGACCCCATCTGTAGAAGAAGAAAGGACGACATCAACATAAACTTTCCGCGGTCCGCACGGATTTCCTGGACCTGCGCCGGACACCCCTCCCTGGCGCGCGGAGCGCGCCAGGGGCGGCGCCGGAGGAGCCGCCTGGGGAGCAGTGCTCCTGAGGATTTCCTTAGGGTGGAGGGCTCAGGGTGAAATCCACACGGGCGTTGGAACCTCGAAGATCAATGCGTCCCGTGACTCGCCTTTTGCAGATCCAGGCCTCGAACATCCATCGAAGCAGCACTTCAGATTGCACCCTTTGCCCTCCACCCCCAACAAAAAAAAAGTGCTCGTGCTCACAAGAGCCCATGAAGCTCAGCAGCTACCTCGACGCCGCCCGCCACGGCTCCGTTGACGTACCCGGTCTCGCCCGACTCCAGGGGCCTGTAGTCCGAGCCGGCCCAGCGCACCCGGCCGAAGCTGTCGCGCAGGCTCGTGAGGTTGTGCTGTCCGACGTCCCCGGGAGGCACGACGATCGTGTACGCGCCTCCTGAAGAGCATGCTTGAAGGGGCCCCAGGCGGGGCTTCCTCAGAAGTGGCTTCTGAGGAGTCTTCTGTCCTCAGGGGAGGGCTTCGAAAACTTCTCAGAGGGCTGGAGGATACCCGAGCCTTCTGAGAAGGCCCGCCCCCTCTCACTTCCCCCCTGGGCTGGCCGCCGATCAAAGTCTTCTGAAGGGGCCCTGAGACACACAAACAAATCCACACAAATAAAACGATCCCCCATATTTTCCCATATCTTCTGGGTGTTTGGCTTCGCCACCACTTCCCATATTTTCCCATATTTTCCGGGGGATCGATGATTAATTGTGTCTGTGTGTTTTTCCCCTCCTGAATGTTTGCTCTAGCCGGAGAGAGATAAGAGGCGTGTTTTGGGAGGGGGGGAGCACGGGGGGGAGCCATAAGGCAACGTCCCCGCCCACCACCGAGACAGACTGTGGTGCGGGACGCACTGCGGGAGTGCCCGAGACGCACTGGGGGAAGGGGGGGAAGGGAGGGGGGGGGAAGGGAGGGGAGGAGGGAGCACGACGCGCGTGATGGCCCAGAGGGTAAAACAAAACACTCCCTCGGGGATAGACAGACACCCCTTGAGCAAAACGTGGTTTAGGAAAAACGACCTCGGTCCCAAGCCTGGCGGGCGCAAGCCTGGAAAAGGACGGCCGCGGCGCCCTCTCGAGAACCGAAAACAAGCAATTCACTAATCGGCGTGTCAGGGTGGGGGTTCTGTCCACCCCCGACTCTCCTGTGTACTGGTCGCCCATCCAGTTGAAGTCGACGTACCTGAGCGGCGTGAGGGCCCTGGGCCCCAGCTGCCTCGCCAGGTAGGCGGCCATCTCCCTCTCGCGAGCCGCCTGCGGCAAGCGCATCATCTTGCGAGCGCACTCCCCTCCGCAGAAGCAGACGACCACTCCCACTGGGTCGGGCACTCCCTGAGGCGTGTTGTCGATGCAGGCGGTCAGGTGGAGAGACTCGCTATGCGCCAGGACATTGGTGTTCGACATGCTCTGGGCCGAGCACCCGGCGTCGCGCCACCACGGCGAGTCGTAGACGAGCTGCGCCTTGACGTTGGTTCCCATCTGGATGTGCCTCAGTATCTCGTGCTTCCCCGCCGGCAGGGGCGGGGAGAAGCCGATGGCAGATGTGGCGCGGGGCGATCCTGTCATCACAAGGAACTTGCAGCGGATCTGCAGCGAAGACGGGTGCCCGACTGGCTCGACAGTGACTGACACTCCGTCGCTGTCCTGGGCGATGTGCGTCACTGGCATCCCCACCCTCACCACATCGCCAAGCTGCGCCGCCAGCCTTTTGAGCGGCGCCGCCATCCCGCCCTTGATCCGGTAGGACTGTGCCGAGGTCAGCTCCCTCTTCCAGTGGCCGCCCCCCTGCATCCTCACGGCGGAGTGGGTCGACCAGGTGCTGGGCTCGTTCGAGAGGACGATGAGCTCGGTCGACCTTAGCCAGTTGCGCGCCTCTCGCGCGCCGACCGTGTCGCACAGCCAACTCTCCAGGTCAGGCTTGCTGCGCCAGGCGAAGCCCTGCGAGATCTGCGAGCGCATCGTGTCCATAAGCCGGTAGGTGAAGATGACGTCGACGACATCGACCCAGTGAGACCACAGCAGCCTGGCGGCTCCCCAAAGGCCCTTCGCACTGCTTGCACCGTACCGGACGCCCTCGGGAAACGCGCCGCTGAACACGTAGCTGTCGCCGGGCACCGGCGTGAGGCCCCACTCCACCAGGCTGCTGTTGAGTTCGTCCACGATCAGCCGCCAGGCGTGCGGCTGCTCCTCTCACTCGCCTGGTAATGGGGGTCAGACTACTGGGGGGTCAGAGTCAGCTAAGCGCAAGCTAAGGAACACCGATTTCCCGAGAAGAATACTGGCTCGGGCCAAGCATTTCCACAGGAACCACCCAGGGAAAAGGCAAGGAAGGCATCGCTTCTGACAAGCACGCGACCCCGAACAAGGAAAAGATCAGCGAGACAGAGCTCACCTTTCCCGGACCCCCCAAATGAGGCTGACCCACAATAGCAGGCGAAGGCTCCTCGCGCGTGGCGAGCCACTGGCCCCCCACCTCCGCATACCCGGCGCCGGGGCGGATGTCGGACAGGTCCACGTTCAGCACCCTGCCGCCCACGTGCCCGTGCGCCTCCAGCACCGCCACACGCCTGCCGGCCCTGGACAGCTCGCGCGCGGCCGTCAGGCCCGCGTAGCCGGCGCCCACCACGACGACGTCCACCTCCCTGGGCAGCCCCTCGACGACGGCCTTCCTGCCCCGCTCCTCCGCGAGCATCCACGACGCCGTGTCCTCGCGAGAGAACTCCCAGTCCACCGGCGGCCCCAACGGCGCCCTGGGCTCGCAGCTGGAGAACGTCAGCACCCACCTTGGCGCTGGGGGATAGGGGTCCTGGGGGCCCCTGGGCGTTCCAGGGCACCGGCTCTTCATCCCGAATCGGTCGTCTGTTAGAGAAACAGAGCACCATCACAGCCAGTATTGAAGGCGCCCCAGGACACACAAATAAATACACACAAATAAAAATATTCCCCATATTTTCCCATATTTTCTGGGTTTCTGTCTTCCCCCCCACTTCCCATATTTTCCCATATTTTCTGGGGAATCGAGGATTAATTGTGTCTGTGCGTGTTTTTTCTCTCCTGAAGTATGCAGCGGTACCTCCACGAGCTCTGGGAGCCACAAACGCCAGCAGCGAAGCTGCCCCACATCGCGCAACTGTGGAGTGCCTCTGTCCAGCAATGCATCGGCGGCGGGCCGGGGAAGTGAGAAGGAGAAGGCTGAAGGGGTCCAGGAACAAACACATAAATACGCACAAATCCCAGGATTCCCAATATTTTCCCATATTTCCTGGGCTTTCGTCGTTCCCCAAAATTCCTATAGTTTCCTATATTTTCCTGGGAGTCGACGATGACTTGTGCCTGTGGGCTGTTTCCCTTCCTGAGAGGCCTTCTCAGAAAGCGGCGGGGCTTCTCAGAAGTGCCTTCTGAGGAGTCTTCTGTCCTCAGGGGAGGGCTTCGAAAACTTCTCAAAGGCTGGAGGATACCCGAGCCTTCTGAGAAGGCCCGCCCCCTCTCACTTCCCCCGTGGGCTGGCCGCCGATTGAAGTCTTCTGAAGGGGCCCTGAGACACACAAATAAATACACACAAATAAAAGGATTCCCAATATTTTCTTATATTTTCTGGGTTTTTGTCTTCCCCCCCCCACTTCCCATATTTTCCTATGTTTTGGGGGGAATCGACGATGAATTGTGTCTGTGTGCTTCTTTCCCTCCTGATCTTCACACAGGGGACGAGGACGAAAAAAAAGAGCCAGGGAGGGGCGCACAGCTCCTCATCCCGAGCCGTTCTTGACGGTCCCTGGGCACTGGGGAAGGGCACCCCCGTAGGCCGGGACCCGTCCAGCACCCCCAGGGCCGCTTTCCTTCCGGACCTCGCGTTCTTCACGCATGGCGACCCTGAAAAAATCGCCCCCCGATTTCTCCTGGGGTGCGTTTTGACAAGAACTTCAAAGGGAATACAACCCTCCGAGAGGCCCAAAAGGGCGAAAAGCGTCCAAACTCCTCGACCCCTTCGAACCTGGAACGACGACCATTTGAGCCCGTTTTTTTATAATCGCGGTCACACCCGTGATCGGCCCTTCCCCCTGCTCACGTTACAATTAGCGCCGGCGCCGTCCACGAATGAGCCATTCTCAAATATTCTCAGACGGCGCCGGCCCGAACCGTGAAGTGACCTGCACCCTGTCCACCCCTCCCGAGTCACGCCCGTGATCGCCAGGGAACAGGAAAAACGATCACGATTTCTTCAACGGTGACCACCTGAGCCAACTTGCGAGGAGCAGGGCGCAGAAGAAGGCGACGATGAGGAGGCTCCCGCGGCAGCAACGCCTGAAGCAGACACCGCGGCCGCCGGGGCTCCCGCGGTCAGCGCCGCCGGCCTCGAGCAGCGGCTGCGCCGCCGGCGGCGTCGGGGCCATGGCTCGCACGGGGGGCAAGTTGGCGGCAACTGCCTGCTCAAGGCGACGAATTCTATACATGGGCGATTTCGGAAACCCCAAAACGTTTTATCTCTTGGGGGCACATCTTTTCCTTCCGCCGCCTTCCGCAGAGCTTCCGCCGGCTTCCGCCGGCGGAGGCGGCATCTTCCTACCTCCGCCGCCATCCCGCCGCCTTCCGCCGAGGGAGAGATGGCATCTCTTTCTATCCTCGAAGGCAAGGCCATTTTTGGAACGCCCCACATATCCACTCCTGGACAGGCCCATCCTGGACCCAGCAGCGGTATTTACGCCACGCCCTCCTGGCGTGGCCAGGAGGGCAAACACACAGCTCCTGGGTTCAAGCTGGGCCTGGCCAAGGAGCAGTGGACCTGTGCAGATTTCGTCGCCCGGCTGCTGCTTCGACACAGACCAGCGGCCACACGCAAGAGTGACCCTACACCCTGCGAAATGCTTTAGAAATCATGGGTTAAGAAATTCATAGTCTCAGAACTTGAATAAAAAAACCCAAAAATTCCATTCAAATCTTAGGATTTACATTGAAACGTTAAGAATAATCGAGACTCTGGCCGAAAACTTAGGTTTTCTTAAGCATCGCCTAAGGTGTACCAGGCAAGAGTGACCGTTGGTGCGCGGCCTAACGGGCAATGCGGGGTGGCCAACCCTGGGCGCGCAAGCCGCTGCTGTCGCTTCGCGCTCGACCGCACCAAAGGTCACTCTGGCAAGTGGTCACTCGCACGTCGAGTCGGGACCAGAGCTTGAGCGTGATACTACGAACATCCTACGGTCCACAGGAGAACGCTCCAGGGCACCAAGAGGAGGACCCAAGGCACCCCAGGCCCCTTCCGGCATCGCTTGGTCCTAGTCCTATGGTTTGACTGTGCCCGTGAGAAGTTTCCGAAACAAAAGAAGGGTGGCCTGCGACCTGGGGTACCTTAGGGTCCTCCGACGCGCCCTTGGAGCCAATCAGACCTCTCATCTGAGGATCTCCATTTAAGGTCCCAAAAAGTCCAGTATCCTAAAATTGCGCTTTCGGGGCCAATGTGGCCCCTGGGAGTATGCGCACGTCAACCTGCTCCAGATCGGTCTGCGCCTTCGGCGTCGTCGTCGTCGAGTTGTTCGTCGTCCTCCTCCTCCGCATCTACGTCATTCTGCGTCTCGCCCTCGCCATCCCCCCTTCCGCTGCCCCTCATCCTCCTCTCTTTCTCCTCGTCCACCCTTTCCGCCTCTCCTCCTCCTCCTCCTCCTCCTCCTCCTCCTCCTCCTCCTGTATCTCTTCATATCGCTTCCCGTACTCTTCGTAATACGAATCATCATGATCCTCCTGGTGCTAATCCTCCTCCTCCTCGTGTTCCTCCCCATCCTCTAGCCGCTAGCCCCTAATCGCAATCCTCCTGTTCTTTTCCTTATCCTGCCTGCTCCTTCTGTTCGACGTGCTCCCCCTTGTGTTCCTCGTGCTCCTCCTCGTGTTCGTTGTCCCCCTCGTCCTCGCAGTGGTCCTTCTCCTCTTGCACCTCCTCGCAGTGATCCTCCTCCTCCTCCTCCTCCTCCTCCTCGCATTCCTCCTCCTTTCCTCCTCCTCTCCCTCCTCCTCCTCGTCCTCCCCGTCCTGTTCTTCCTCCTCCCCCTCCTCCTCCTCCTCATTACCCTGGTCCCTCCTCTTCTCCTCATGCTCATCATCCTCGTCCCTCCTCTTCTCCGCTTCCTCCGACTCCTCAGAAAAGCCGAAGAAACCTTCGCACTCTCGATGCCGTCTTCCTTTCTCCTCCCACACCCTGCCTCCTCCCTACTCACCGCGCTCTCGCTGGAGACATCTCCCAGATCCAAGGGTTCCAAGAAGGTCTCGGGCGAAACGAGCCGGACCACCCCGCACGCAGCATTTCGGAGCCCCGAGCCCATCTGCGAGGAACTCCGACGCTCCATGACCCCAGGAAGCCGGGGCGTCCCAGACCGCGGAGCGAAAATGACCACTGATTGGAAGGGGAGGGGTTTGGGAAAAGTGGGCCGCCCCTGGGCCCCGGGCCACGGTCGCACGAGGTGGCCCCCAAGCAGGACACTGGCTTCTGTTGCGGTTCGTGTCGCTCTCGTGCGGGCGGAGCGAATCTGCGCGGGGGCGGCGCTCTGTGGGCCAGAGTCAGGTCCAAGTCGGGCAGCAAGTTGTTCCTTGGGCCTCGCAAAGACCCGCGGGACTATTCTCGGTGTTTTTTCCAGTGGATCGTCCAATGGGTTGTCCTGTGGGTGTTCTGCGGGTTGTCCCGTGGGGTGTCCGTGGGTTGTCCCGTGGGGTGTCCGTGGGTTGTCCCGTGGTTGTTTCACCTGTGGGCTGTCCCGTGGGATGTCCCGTGGGTTGTTCCGTAGGTCCTGCGGGAATGCACATCGAAAAGCAAAGCAACATGCACGTCTGAATGTGATACATACAGACAGTACTGTACTATACGCACGCATCGTATAGAGCGTAAAACATGTGGATATAAGTAGCCAGGCAGATAGATGGGCCACCGCCCAGCAGGCCCACTGTGGAGCGTCATCAGGTCCATTATAGAGTTCTTTGCATTGAATCTGCTGAATGCTGCGATAAAGGCGCAAAGCCCCAACTCACAGGGAGTTCCGCGTGACTTTTGGAGCGCTGCGCATGCCTTCCAGGGTGTGCCGCGTGACCTGTCCTGCTGCCAGAACGCCGCAACAAGGCCGAGAGGGCCGAGGCAGGGCTCTCAGACGGTCCATGGGGAGACGCCCAGAGACGGCACAGTGAGCGCCCCGAGACGGCCCCGTACGGCCTCAATCGGCACGGCACCCCTCACCCGCCATGCAGGCAGGCCCGAATTGGCGGGATGCAAATGGGGGGATAAGTCCAGATGGGGAGAGAGGCGCAACCGAGGTACAGATTGTACCTACGCCCCACGGAGGAGGTACAATTTGTACCGACGCCACGCAGACAAGGTACAAATTGTACTTTTGACAACGTCCGCGACATGTGCGAGGATGCTAACGGGGGGGGGGAGAAGGTACAATTTGTACTTGCAACCCGCAGAGAACGTACAAATTGTACCCCAACAAAACGGTACCGGATACTCATCCCCCCATGTCCTGATCCCCCCATCGCCATGCAGGCAGGCCCGAAGCCGACCTGGGGCCGCGGGGTCGGAAACGGAAGCAGCGCCGGATCGGGTTTCGGGGGGGGCTCCCCCAAAGGCCCTAGCGGGCGTGAGGAGCGCGCGTCGGGCCTCCGCCTCCTCCCCCCCAGCCCCCCTTTCCGCCCCCTCCTCCTCCTCCTCCTCCTCCTCCTCCTCCTCCTCCTCATCTTCTCGCTCGTCCTCTTGTTCCTCCTCCTCCTCTTCCTCCTCTTCCTCCTGCTCCTCCTGCTCCTCCTCCTCCTCCTCCTCCTCCTCCTCCTCCTCCTCCTCCTCCTCCTCCTCCTCCTCCTCCTCCTCCTCCTCTAATTATCTTCTCGCACCAGACGGGTTTCGCCCAAATCGTCGCGGGATCGGGCAGGGATCGGATCGCCTGGGATCGCAGACTGGGCTCCCCCGAGATCCGGGGCGCTGCAGCTCTCTCACAGCGGGCGTCTTCGCCAAGTTTCGGCTCTCGGGGCCCTCACACATCGATCCGGCCCGCGGAAGTATCGGGACTAGGCCTCCGGTGGTACTCTTCACAACGTTGCGATTTGTCGGAACGTCGAACATCAGGGTCGGCTCTTGGAGACTGTCGGCGGCGAGCGAGGGGGGGGGATGAGGAGGAGAAGGTCTTACCGTCGGGCGGCGGGACTTCTCAGAAAACTTCGCGCCTTCTGATACGGGGAAGGCTTCGACAACTTCGGGGAAGGCCGGGGGAAGGCTTAGACACCTGAGGAGTTCTTTCTGTCTTTGAGAAGGCTTTGTCCTTCTCACTTCCCCCCCTCGCTCGCCGCCGAGACTGGAGAGCGAATGCTGTGCCAGATCGGATCAGACCGAGATCGGAATCGACTCTTGGGGATCGGATCGGCTCGACTTGGACCGCGGGCAGTCCCTGCAGCTCCCCAGGAGGGCTCACATGCTCTCAAGCGTGCCACCGCCCCAGCGGAAGGATAAGCGAAGGCACCGGCCGGTGAGGAGGTGGCTTCGGACGGGGAGGCGTGTTGTAGCATCGGTGATGTATGTTGGGTTTACTCTCGTCCTCCTCCTCCTCTTCCTCCTCCTCCTCCTCCTCCTCCTCTTCCTCCTCCTCCTCCTCCTCCTCATCCCTCCCTAGGAGCAGGGCGAGTTGAGACAACGGCAGCTCAAAAGCGGTCCCTGGACCCCTCCCGGGGTCCACACGTACCAATTCTCCGTTCTGCGTCCCGCCGCGACGACGACTCCGCTCCCACCCCCGAAGACCAACTGTGCTGTTGCCCGTTGTCTCAACTCAACCTCCTCCGGATGGCAAGAGCGGCGGGGGCGGCGGCGGCGGCAGCTGCGACGACGACGACGACGACGACGAGGACGAGGACGACGACAACAACGAGGACGACGACGACAACGACGACGACGACGACGAGCTCGTTCTTCAGGGATCTGTTGCGCAAACGAGTCCTGCACCTCCAGCGAGTAGAAGCCCTTGTTCTTCACCAGCAGGCGACTGTTCGGGACCTCGTGCAGCACTCGCGCCCACAGCGCCACGCAGGGCGCGCCTTGGGGGGTGCGAAGAGGGACCAGGGGAGGAGACAAAGAAGGAGGAACGGAAGGAGGAGGAGGAGGAGGAGGAGGAGGAAGAGGAGGACGACGACGAGCGTGCATAGTGGGGGGGAAGGAAGATGCTAAGCCAGAGGAAAGAAAAGCGGGAGAGATGAGGACAAGACGGGATCGGAGGCAGGCGTGTAGGAGGACGAGGAGGAAGGAAGGACATCGGGAAGAGGAGGACCGAGGATGAGGAGCGTGGGAGCGGAGGAACAAGAGAGGAGGAAGATCGCCTGACGAATGGCCCGACACTTAGCGCAGAGCATGTCGCGCAGAGGCGCGCTGGGCTCCAGACATATGCGACGCGATCCTCGCGAGGGGTGTCCCCTTTCGGTGGAACTCCCTGTGAGGCGCTCAGCGTGAGAGGCCGACCCCCTGGTCCCAAAATTCCAGAACTCTTTCATTACTGCACGCACGGCCCGAACAACTTGCCGACCTTAGGGCCGGTCTGTGAAACTTCTGGGCCGTCCTGGGGAGCGAGATCGAAATGCCATTCGCACATCCAGAGTCCTGAGCGGTCTGCTCAATTGTCGGGTCCGCACATCGATTGGCTGTGAAACTTGCCAACCCCCATCGCCCCCTCCGCCCTCGGCCCCCGCGCGTTCCCCGTCGGCCTTCTTCGACTCGTGCCGGTAGGGAGTGTCACGAGATGCGCAAAGGCAACATTGGGCAAAATTCCGGAGCAGCGCAGCAGCATGATTGACCAGCCTGGAACATATCCCTATCCCTATGCTGGGCACCTCCTCATCACGATGCCAATCTTAGGGATTCCCTTATTTTTGAGGGCGAATCCCTGAGATTGTCATCGCCTTTTGGCGTGTCAATCTTAGGGATAGGGATACGTTCGAGGCTGGTGAATGATAGCTGGTGGATGCAGTGGCACCCTTGGCTCCAGTGAGGCGGACGTTGGAGACTGCTGGTGCGCGTTGGGTCTGCGGTCGACAGGGAGCGCTCCGGGTGTCGGGCAAATGCGAAATCAGACGGCGAAGTCGCACACGCCTTGGAGTACAACTCGAACACTCAGATTCGACCGCTTTGATAAAAGTACGGGTCGCGTGGGGTGTGTGCCGGGATTGGCGGGGTCGGCATGCAGGCTGAGGCCGTAGGTGGCACTCCCTGTGGCACGCAAGCGTGGCGGGAGAGGGAGGGAGGAGTGAGGGAGGGAGGAGAAAGGGAGGGGGAGGAAGCAGAGGGAGGGAGGGAGGGGAGGGAGGGAGGAGAGAGGGAAGGGAGAGGGAGGAGAGAGGGAGGGAGGGGAGAGGAGGAGGGGAGAGGGAGGTTGTGCAAATACGGGCGGGGGGCGACATCCGGGCTGGCACACCAGGGTCGCAGACGGAGGCCTCCCTTTGGGAGGGGGGGCACGAGACGACGTGTGAGATGTGTGGGTGTGCCGAGATCGGCACGTGGACGGAGAGCAGACGCAGGGGTGGAAGGAGGAAGGGGAGGGAGCGGGAGGGGGAACCGCACTGCGCTGCGGATTCAAAACGAGGGCCCTACAACACCGGGTGGTTCGGAACATCTGTGCACGTAGATAAACAAGTGCATGGAAGTATGTATGTATACCTGTATATGTAAGAGAGAGAGAGAGAGAGAGAAACAAACACAAACAAACAACAAACAACAACAACAACAACAACAACAACAACAACAACAACAACAACAACAACAACAACAACAACAACAACAACAACAACAACAACGACAACAACAACAACAACAACACCAACACCAACAACAACACCAGCAACAACAACAACAACAACAACAACAACAATAACAACAACAACAACAACAACAACAACAACAACAACAACAACAACAACAACAACAACAAAGGAAGATAAAGAGAGAGAGAGAGAGAAAGACAGCGCGAGAAAGAGAGAGATAAAGACGATCAACACGTAGGAAAACGAGGGGTAGGAAGAAAGGCAGGAGGGGGAGGGGACAGGAGAATGAGGAAAACGAGAATGAGAAGAAGGGAGGACGGAGGAGCAAGTGCACAAGGAAAGGATGAGGCCTGGCTCGGCCTGGACTGGCCGCTAGCCGCGCGACACACCGCGGCCGAGCTCTGGCTTGGCCGCCAGTCACCTTGCACTCGCCGAACGCCCGAACGCACGCCAAGTCTGCCATACACATTGACGACCGTTGTGGGCGCTCCTCCAGAAATGCGGCGTCTCAGCCCCTGGGCTGGACTCAACACGCACACAGGCGGACGTGCGCTTCACCTCCAATCCGAGTGCGAGCGCGTCGGGACATCGAACCGAATCGGACTGCGCGTCAAATCGGGCCGCACCGGGACGGGGTCGGAGTCGGATCCGGTCGGCCAGGCCAGGCTGCACAACAGCGCCAGAGCACCGGGCCACATCGGATCGTCGAAGCGCAGGGATCGATTCGGATCAGGCTGGCCGACATCGATGTCGAGACGGATGTACCAGGTCGGAATTGGCCCTGCACTGCCAGTGTGGAGCGCAGCTGAAGTGCATTCCACACGTTGGCCACGCGCGATCTTGCAATTGCTCGGACATGGGATTTCGGCTCACCATTCCTCGTCAAGATCACTTGGCATCTTTTTTCCTGTAAGCGAATCCACCTCACAAGAATCCGCTGCCCCTCGAAGAGACTTTCCTGAACTCCGCCCACGAAGCACAGAACCCGGCAGAGAGCTAAACCCAGAACGGCAAAGGACAAGCAGGGCTGTCCTGCGAACGTGGCCGAAATCCTAAGTGAAACAACATCTGCACAAACGGAGCCAACACACAGACCTAAGGTATTAAAGTATGATGGTTGCCCCTAATTTGGAGCAGCACTTTGAAACGATACGAGTTAACCCCAGATCGTATCGGTGAAACTGGGGGGGAGCGGGGAGGAGGGCGAAAGAAAGAGGAGGCGACACAGGCCACAAGGGAGCGAATATCGGCTGCCGAACGCACATATGCTAGGTAAACTCCGGCACTTCCCCGGAAGATTGCAGCAGGGCTCCGAAATTAAATCGACGAGCCTGGCGAGTTCCAAGCGGAAGACAACTGTGGGTGCATAGCCACGAGCCGCGAGGAGCGGGACCTGACACTCGGACAGCGCGCGAGGAAGACGGCACCCTGAAGCAGGTGCGGCCCCCAAGTTAACGGGCGGCCAAGGCGATTTCGCTCCGGCAGGCGGCCTGCAGCGATGAATTACACACTCCGCCAAGCAGTGATACGGGCCAGAGCGGCGACCTGGGCGTGGCCGCTGCCAGCCAGCGAGTGCGCTGGGCAGACAAAGCAAGAGGCGAGGAGGAACGGGGAGCGAGAGCGACGCCGCGGCGCGCCACGGGAGCTGCACTGTCCTACGAGCTGCCAAGATCAGTTGGCATCTATGGCTTCGCTGGCACCATCATCACAGACGCCGTCGTCGTCGCCGTCATCATCATCAGCACCAACAGCAGCAGCATCAGCATCAGCATCAGCACCATCGTCATCATCACCACCACCACAATCATCATAATCATCCGCATCATCATCAGCAGCATCATCATCAGCATCATCATCGTCAGCATCATCACCACCATCATCAGCGTCATCAGCATCAGCATCATCACCAACATCATCAGCATCATCAGCGTCATCATCATGGTCATCAGCATCAGCATCAGCATGGTCAGCAGCATCAGCATCAGCATCATCATCAGCAGCCTCATCACCATCAACATCATCATCATCATCAGCAGCAGCATCATCACCATCATCATCATCAGCGTCAGCTTCATCATTATGATCAGTAGCATCAGCAGCAGCATCATCATCTTTATGTCAATGCTCCCCAACCCCACCTGTGCCGCGCCCTGAGATCTCTCCTGGCAAGCCTGGTCCTTGGGTCGCAAGGGAGAGGTGCACAAGGCGGCCCTGGGCCAGTGCTAGGCGTACCCCGACCTCCAGACATTAGGCCAAGTCTGGCGTCCTCTGGCCCCTCTCTGTACCGCGACTTGATTCTTTCATGGGAAACCTGGTCCTGGGGTCGCAGGTGCGAGGGTGTCTGGCCCAATTGCGCCAGCAAGCAACGCCCCACCCATTCTTTTCTCGACCGAAGCATCCTGTTGCGGCGTGCCACCCGCCATCGTCGTCACACCAGCCAAACGAGCTACATAGGCATTCTCCCGGGGAGGAGGATGAGGCAGGAGGAGATGACACAAAATGGAAAAAAGGGCTCGGGAGAAAGAGGAGGGAGGGAGGGAGGGAGGGAGGGAGGGAGAGGGAGGGGGGGAGGGAGGGAGGGAGGGAGGGAGGAGGAGGAGGAGGAGGAGGAGGAGGAAGAAGAAGAAGAGGAGGAGGAGGCACCCAGGCGAACTCGGGACAACATCAGCCACACCCGCAGCATCGACATCATTTCCACCATGGCTTGTTGTCTTCGCCGCCGACATACGGTCGGTAAATGTTGGATAGCGTGTCGCCGTGACGGTACCAGCGATACACTATAGACACCGTGTCGCTCCGCTCCGCGGGCTGGGATGCTCAGGCAAGCTCGAGATTTTGATACCTGGGGACCGCGAAGTGGATGCGTGTCTCGCCGAAGAGTGTTTAGTCAGAACCGGCGCAGCGAATCGCGATCCAAAAGTTCCCGACCGTACGTGGGTCACTGTCGCTGCTGACATAATCACAGTTGCACCGCCTGCTGCCGCTGCAACTGCGTCTCCTCCTCGCCATTCCTCGTCGCTCCTCGTCGCTCCTCGTCGCTCCTCCTCCTCGTCGCTCCTCCTCCTCCTCCTCCTCCTCCTCCTCCTCCGAGTGCCAGGGCCCGGGCCGATCTTGGCGAGGCAGCTGAAGCTGCCGAAGGTGACGAAGCCGTTGCGGAGGGCTGCAGACGAGGGGAAGCGCGGCGCGACCCGACGGCGTGCCGCGCGCACGCCCTCCTCCCCCCCTTTCCTCCCTCTCCCGCCCGGCAGGAAGCCCGTCTGGGCCCACCCGCCCGGCCGGGCCGCGCGGCACGGGCGCGAACTGTCGCGGGCGAGCAGCCGAGTAGATCCGCGGAACGCCCCTCCGCCCCCCCGTCCCCCGCGGCCGGGAGCCTTCCGGCGGCCTCCCCCTTCGCTGCCGCACGCGGACCTCCTTTCGGAAGCCGTGGGTCGCCAAGGCGAAACGAGCCTAATAGATCCGCGGAACGCCCCCCCCCCCACACACCCGCGGCCGGCAGCCTTCCGGCGGCCTCCCCCTTCGCTGCCGCACGCGGACCTTCTTTCGGAAGCAGTAGGTCGCCAAGGCGAAACGCCTGCATACTGACGCCACACGTTAACTGTCGCTAACTGTCGCGGGTTGGCAGCCTAGTAAATCCGCGGAAGGCCCCCCCCCCCCGCGGCCGGCAGCCTTCCGGCGGCCTTCCCGTTCGCTGCCGCACGCGGACCTTCTTTCGGAAGCCGTGGGCCGCCAGGGCGAAACGCCCGCACACGGACGCCAGACGACGGACGCGCCGCAGCTCTGCCCGACACCTTACGAGCCAGGCGCGAGGCCAGAGAGACGGCGCCACCCTGGGCGACCGTCTCCACCTCACGCTCCTAATCCTTTTCCTCTCTCTCTCTCTCTCTCTTTCTCTCTCCCCCTCTCTCTCTATATATATATATATATATAGATATGTGTTTTTTCCCTCCTCCTCCTCCTCACTACCTCTCGTTCTCTCTCTCTCTCTCTTTCTCTCTCTGTTTCTCTCTCTCTCTCTCTCTTTCTCTCTCTCTCTATATATATATATATTTCTGCAAAGTTCTCGGTCTCTCTTTCTCATTCTCTCACTCTCGCGCTCTTTCTCACACTCTGTGTCTCTCCCTCCCTGTCTTTATTTCCCTCCTCTTTTTTGTTGTTGTTTCCCTCTCTCTCTATATATATTTATACCCTCTCTCTCTCCCTCTCTCCTCTATCTCTCCATTCCTTGTGTTGTTTCTCTCTTTCTCTCTCTCTCTCTCTCGCTCTCTCTCTCTCTCTCTCTCTTTCTCTCCCCCTGTTTGTTCCCCAGGCAGCGCTTGTACTAGCTGCTTCCGACATGCCTTCTGAGGAACTGGCCCAGCCCGCCTCCCCAGTGCCCCCGTTTCCGCCCGCCGGCGCACTCCATGTTCACCCTGGCGGCCGCCACGGTCCCGCCCGTCGCCGCCGCCCCGTTGCCCACCCCCCGTCGCACTGCAGTCGCACTGCGCTGCGTTCCGCCGCGGTCGCACTCCATGCCTGCACTGCTTTGCATTGCGTTGCGTTGCCTCGCGCTGGTTCGCATTGCGTTGTATCGGTGTGCGCTGCGTTGCATCAGTTTGCGGTGCTGTGCGTTGCGCTGCATTGTTTTGCATGTGTCTGCGTTGCGTTAGGTTGCGGCGCGTTTGCTCGCATTGCGTTACCTTGCAATTGCGTTGCGTCGATGTGTTTCGAGTTACATGATTATGTGCATCGCAGCGACGTGCGTTGCAATGCTTGGCGCTGATTTGCATTGCGGCACCTTGCTTTGCGTTGCCCTGCGTCGCGTTGCATTGTTTTACACTGTGCTGCGATAGTGTGCGTTAGTGTCCCAGTTTCTTATTGATTTACCACGAACGCAGGTTCCATGCGCCCATGATCACGGCGTTCCAGCCACGACGGCCAGGGCAGCATCTCTGTGGATGTTCTCGGTGCTGGCGTTGCTAACGAGCACACCCACGCCTGCGCGACGCGAAACGCTCTTTTTTGGCTCGGGCGATCGATGCGCAAGAGCCGTTTCCGCGCCCAACGCTGCGGGCGCCACGGCGCGTGCGTTGCGGAGCGTGTTGTTTGTCGGCTGTCTCAACGCACCCCTTTCGAACACCAGCGGGTTTGGGAGCATGGGGGGGGAGGGAAGGGGGAGGAAGGGGAGAAGCCGGGAGAGAAAGAACCAACGACATCGGGGTGACGACGACGGTTCGGTAAGTAACTGCCTCTGGGCGGCATTTCGGATAGCTTGGGTGTGGAGAGGGTTCGTGGTATGTATCTACCTCTGCGAAGCGGAGATCTGGCGGCAGCGATCCCCGGATACCTTTCCAGTGTTCAGCTGTTGCTTACTCCGCCCAATTCAAGCGGGGGCGGCCTACTCTCCTGTGTGTCCACTGTCTGGACTGCAGTGTGATCGGGTCGAATGTTACCCCCTGCGCAGGATGAGTGGGCTCAGCTCGAACAGGTGGTTTGGTAAAGTAGCAGCTTGTTCCTGACATACGCTTCGCTGAATGTGATAATAAGTTTGTGTTCGATTCCTCCTTGTCGGAACGCGTTTTCGGCCGCTTCGTAAACTCATTAATTCGTGTTGGCTCTGTTTACGTATGACTTTTGAAACTTAAGATTTTGCGGAGTCCTTTGAGCTGAAAAGCGTCCAGTCGATTGAATGTGCCCTGTGTGAACTGGGCTGATTCGAATCCGTCCAGGAGCTTAGAAGTGACGATTGCGTTTCGCAGTTGCAGCTTGAATTTGGCGGGGAAACTGCTATGTATCCAAAACAAATCCATGCAACGCCCCGATTCGCGCTTGTACGTCGGGCGTGTTATCGCATTTTTCGTTCAGACGACATCCCATGTATTTAACCCCCCATGCGCCAGATTACTCTCATGATAATAATACAAGAGCGCTGCGACAGGTCAGATTGTCAGGCATAACCATCCTTGCCCGCCGCATGCATCGCCAGGGTTGCCCCACAGACGACCTCCAGCGCCGCCGCGGCGCGGGCACTGCCCCAGCGGCATCGGCCACGGGGCGGGAGACGCGGAGCGCGACCTGGATCGACAAGGCCTGCTCCGAAACAGCGACACCGATTGCAGCATGTCGGTTCTCCTTTCTAACAAGGAGATACGTTCTACCACCCTCCCGCCCCCGGACTTTTCGCTTCACCAGGAACCGATGCAAAACACATATGTTTCCGACCCACTCCCCATCCTACCTGTGAGTTCATACCATCCTAGCCAGGCCGAAATCACCCCCCCTGCCATCCTCTGCAAAAAACGTTATGCGCGCACACTCGTTTATCAAAAATCATAAGTGTTCTAGAATCCTTGCAAACGCGCGCCGAAATCCTTCAAAAACCGCCGATTTCGGAAGGACTTCAAAATCCAGGAACATGGATGTTCAACAAAAGCGTGCGCGCTTTTGCGGATTGTTGGGGGGAAACTTAAGTTTTTCAACCTGTTTCATAAAATGCTACCGAACGGGCTTCGCGCGCGCACGTCGATATCGTTCGAAAGCCCTTGCGCGCGTGCTGGGGTAGCACGATCCGTGTCGAATAACACCATGCGGGCCACTCTCGCACGTCTGCCGCGCGCGCATTTCAAGTTCCTTACCAAACCTTCATCACCGACGCGATGACGCCGTCATCGTCGCCGGCGTGATCAGCATCGGCGCCGTCACTGGCTGTCCCGTCGTTGCTGTCAGCATCGCCACCAGCATCGCTAAGATCATCATCGTTTCTACCGTTGTCGACGTTGCCATGATACCGCGCCCGCTCAAGTCGCCGACTCACACTGAAGTGCCCGCTGGGATGTGCCGAACGGTCAGCGCCACCGCGTTCGCGTCGGTCGCGCCAAACAAGCTGGCCACTGCGCGTGCAAGCATGCGCGGGCTAGCGCGGCCGCAGAGATGCACCAGCCAACACCCAGCACTCATCGCAATCGTTCCCGCATGGGTTTTGCGAACCAAGTTGCGGGTGGGTGGGTGGGACGATTGTGCGAACAGTGCAGTTGACAACGTCAAGCTCGGCAAGTGAATTGCACCGCGTATATTGCCCCACGCAGAACTGCACCACATAGATTGCACCACGTCGATTGCACCACATAGTTTGCTCACGCCATAAACTGCCCCACATAGTTTGCATCACATAGATCACACAACTTCGATTGCACACCATAGATGCTGCACCACACATTTCGCACCACACAGACTGCACCACATTTGCTGCCACATCACGATTACAAACCATATGTTGCACAACATGTGTTGCACAACAAATATTGTACAGTCTATATTGCAACACGTAGGTTGCCACTCACACACAGATCGGTCCGCCTGGATTGCGAGACGCACGCTGCTGGAAACACTCCGTTTGAGGCCCACGCTGGCTAGCATGTCTTATGGCAGCCAGCGTTTGAGCGTGCCTCCTTTGCCCTCCTGGCACCCCCAACTGAAACAGGGCTAGGATCGGGATAAATCGCTCCAGAGCGTTCCGGAGCGCTCTCAGAGCGTTCCGGAACGCTCTGGAGCGGCCGCGGCGCCCAGTACATCCTCCAAACCCGCCAATTTTCAGAGATTTCGAATTATCCCGATCCGATTTTGTCCCGATCTTCGCGTCGTTTTACCTGGCCCCCCCAGCGCGCCCTCCTGGGAGCTGCTCCACGTCGGGGACGCGGGCGGGCGGCGTGTAGCACAGGAAGCAGCCGGGGAGCCGCACCAGCTCCTCGGAGAAGGGCTGGGTGCTGTCGGGGGGGTCCTGTGGGCAGGGCGGGGCGGTCGGAGGGCGCCGAGGAGGAGCCGCCGCCGCTGCCAAAGGCCTCCTGGATGTCTTCGGGAGCGGCCAAGAGGGGGGCGTTAAAGAGGGGGGGGTGCAAATCATGACCGGCGGCACGTGCGCGGCCCAGCGGGGGGGGCCGGGGACGTAATGGAACAGGAAGAGGCGCCATGAGATCTGGGGAAACATCGTGGCCCACGCCATGAGATCCCCCCCCCCCTAGTCATCACCCCCCTCTTTTCCGCCCCCGACTCCTGGAGGCCTGGAGGCCAGGCCCAGGACCCGGGGCTGTCAGGAACCGATCTCGCCCATACGCAAGAGGGCCCCTATGGGCAGGAGTGATCTTCGGTGCGCGGCTTCCGGGGGCCGCAGGAGGGCCAGATCCAGGCGAGCAGGCCAGTGCTGGGAGGACCCCCTCTGGGCCCGCACCGGGGGTCACTCCGGCGAAGGGCCACCTTTCAGTGTGGCCGACGACCGTCTGGATGGAGTGCCGTCGAGGGAGAGATTTTGAGCGGATCCTGGTCCGCGGAGAGGGGCGGATTGGCCGAAGGGGTGCGGCGTGGGCGACGGGGGAGGGGGCAGGAGAGGGGGCGGGGGAGACATGGCAAGAGAAGCACTACGAGGGGCAGGGGGAAAGACGAGAACGAGGAGCACGAGGGCTCATAGCCGCAGCGGGTCACGCCCTCCCTGCCATGGCCAGCTGGCCACTCGAGGAAAAAACAAATGGTGAACTGAAGGTGTACGACCTTTGCTGAGGAGAACCCCGCTCAACTCATGACCTACACACGAAAGAACACCTAGAGCAATGGAGAGAGAGAGAGAGGCAGCGAGAGAGATTGGGTAAACGAAGAGAGTGGGACAGAGGAGTGAGGAGAGGTGGGAAATACCAGTCCGAATCCATACTCTATTGTATACCTCGACGTCGACCAGGCCCTGGTGCTTGAAATCGCTCTTTTTCTTGGCAACTTGATTATTCACTCTTCGATGGGGGGGATTATCGAGCGACCCAGGCACACTAGACAAGGAGAGCTCGTGTGCGAGCCGGCCGCGACGTGGCCGACTCCAAGAAGGATGCGCCTGGTCTGCTGCAGGGCCGCCACCCCTCCGCGCCTGCCCAGTCTCGACCTCGACCTCCGCATCCATCCTTTCCTACCCCCTCTCCCATCCCTCGCATCCTCTCCCCCTCGCATCCTCTCCCCTCCCATCCCTCGCATCCTCTCGCATCCCTCCCCTCCCTCCGCTCCTCCCTCCGCATCCTCGCATCCTCGCTTCCACACCCATCCCTCGCATCCTCTCCCCTCCCTCCGCTCCTCCCTCGCCTCGCCCATCCCCTGCCCAGGTTTCTGCCATCCCGCTCCGCCGCCCTCCACAATTACACAATATGAGTACCACTCTCCCTCTCTCCCCTGACGACGTCTGGAAGATATCCCGCCCCTCTCGGCGCATTTTTCTTACACAGAGGATTCCCAGGAGTTGGGTTTTCGTTGGGGTTTTGTTTCGAAATGCTGCTCCCGCTGATGCGCTGGCCCCGTTTCTGCGACTCTGGTTGTTCCAGATCGTGCTCCCGCTGCAGCGCGGGCGTTTTCGGTCCTTCCATATCAGCCCCGAAATCTAGAAAATGACCCCCCGAAACAACCATCGGAACTGACTACATGTTCGGTGTCGATTCGTTGGTTTTTTGGGGCCGCAGAAGCCCCCCCCACTTTGGGGCGTCGTCGTTTTCAGGAAGTATCGAGCGGGAGCCCCGCTTCTGCTTCGAGAAGGCGATGTTGAAAGCAGAGCCAGCGGGTGCTCTCCATCAGCCCCGCCTTGTGTGGAGCTTTTCGGAAAGCTCAGGGAGCTAGACATGGAGCCACGACTTCAGACCGCCCCAGACCTCTCGAAGACGATCCATTTACCCTCCAAGGACCCCGGCGCCATGCCATGACATGTTGTGCGGTGTTGTGTTTTGCGCCGCTGTGCGATACCATGCATTGCGTTGCAATGCTTTGTGATGCAAAGCTTCACTGCGCAATGCCACACCATGCTATGGCATGCTACGCTCTGCCGTGCTCTTCTACGCCATGCCGTGTCGTGCTCTACCATGCATCGCGTACCCTCTCGCGATCATTGCCCTGCTCGACATCCGACTGTGCGAATAGAGAGGATATCTACGACATGGTAAGGGATGGGAGGGAGGGATGGGACATCAGATATGACGCGAACGCACCTAGCTTGTCCCTACCCTTCTGCTCTCTGCGCACCTCCTCCCCACCTCATATCTTCCCTCCCCACCTCCGTGGCTACTTGTGGCCATGCCCCCCCCTCCCGCGCCTCTCTCGACCCTCCCCTTCCTCTCTCTACTTTGTTGTTCTCTCTCTCTCTCTCTCTCTTTCTCTCTCACGTTCTCTCACGCTCTTACTCTCTCCTGCATTGTTTCTCTCTCCCTCTCTCTCTATCGCTCTCTCTATATCGCTCTCTCTCTCTCTCTTTCTCTCTCTCTCTCTCTCTTTCTCTCTCTGTCCCTCTTTCGCCGCCTCTCTCTCTCTGTTCTTCTCTTTCTCTCCCTCTCTAGCATTATCTCTCTGTCTTAGTATCTCTCTCGTAGTATATCTTTCTATGTCTCTGTGTGCCCTTTATAGTTGTGCACTGCCTTGCTGTGAATACCTTTACGTCTATCACTCGGTCTGTTTGTTTTATAAATACATATATATACATATATAGAGATGGGTCTACATACATGTACATGTATAAATGTATATCTATATATATATATATATACAAATACATATATACATATATGTATTTGTGTGCCCCTCTCTCCTCCCCGATCCCCCCATTGACATTTTCCATCCACCCATATCCCAACCCCTACTCTCTACTCTCCCCTCCCTAGGCTTTCCCGCTCTCCTCTTTTGCCGTTCCCTGCCCTCAGCTGCCCCACCCAATGCGGTCCACGACAGCATCGGTAATGCGGTAGTCGATCGCCCCGAGCCCTGTGGTGTTGTTGTAGCCTGCCCGTCGGGGAGAAGGATCAGTTATGATGATGGGGTGGAGGCAAAGGAATCGATACGTACATGCATATCTGTAAATAGATACACACACTGGAACTGAGCGCGCGCTTCGCGCGCGCGTAGCGTCTAGCGCAGCCCAAGCCAACCTCCAAGGATCGGATGACGATGGACATCGTCCTGCAAGGGTCAACATATGGGAGCGTACTTCCTGATGGGCGCTTCAGGAGTCTGTAAATGCTGAACAAGGAGGCCCCACGAGATCCCGCTGCACTAGGCAGATACACCGAGCAGCTGCGAGATGGAAACTGTTTGGGGGCTTCGGGAGGCTCGTCGCCTGTGGACCGTCCTCAGCGGTCTTGAAGATCCCCTGGGCGTCTCGAGAGCCGCTCGAACTATCTCCGGGGTGCCTTCGGGGATCGTAACCCTGTGAGCCAATGATACGGGGCAGCTCGAGTCATTTTAAGGCCTGCCAGGGCCAGTCAAAGCTGTCTTGGGCGCGGCCTTGGGGATCCTTTAGGCCGTACTGTGCCTTGCTGGGAAGCGTTGAGATGTTGCGCGACACACGGTACCAGGCAGATGACGCGGCTCACTCTTCTCATGATGGAGGCGACGTCCAGCACGACTTCGCGTCATAGGTGCGCGTGCAGGGCGAATCTCCAAGCTGTTTTTTGCAAGTGCCGAGGAAGGCTCCAGGAAGGCGCGCAGGGCAGCCACGAGGAGGACCCAGGGCCGCCGAAGGGGGGAGACCCGAGAGCCCTATCAGTCATAGCCTGGCACAGCCATGCTGGGAGTCTTTTGGGATGCCTTTGTGGGACACTCTCGGAGGGCTCTTGGGAGCTTCTGGGGGGGGGCTCCTTGGGGGTTCTCCTGGCGGCCTCTTGGGACTTCTTGCTGGGCGCTTCGGGGGCCTCCCCGCGGCTCCTGGCGTCTGGGCTTGACATGCCCGTTCAGATCCCCGCTCGTGCCCCTGTCTTGGAGCCGTCTGAAAGGCCTCTTGGACCGTCGTGGCGCTCTCTTGGGTCGTATTGGAGCCGGCACGGGGGCCTCTTGGGTTTTCTTGGCGCTGTCTTTGGGACCTTTTGGGCCATCTTAGTGATTTGGAAAGGGACAACAAATCGATACAGCTAAAACATGTCAAAGGCCAAAAGGGGATATAAGATCTTGGCCTCCTGGGGCCCTCTTGGGGGTCCTCTTGGTGCCATTTCGGAACGTTTGGGGGGCATCTTGGGCCTACGTGATGCTACTTTGGGCTTCCCTAAACGTTATCAGGCAGTCTCGAGGAACTATTGGTGCGACTTGGGGGCCTCATGGGCCTCTCTTGGCCGTCTTGAGAACCTCTCTGGGCGCTTTCGGAGGCCCCCATGACGGGGGACCAGGAAACGTACAAGGGAGGTAACTCGGTGGAGTCCCAGCTCTGAGATCTATGATAGATGCATACATCCACAACCGTGCCATTGAGGCACAAGGTGGAATGTCCTCAAGCCCTTGGCCTAGACGCCCAATATTACATATAGCCGGCAGGGAAAATCTACCAAAACGCCCCAAGAGGACTCCGAAAACCTTCCCAAGAGGACCCCGAGAGGCCAAAACCTGTAATCCTCAAAGGTTTTCCAATGGATGTTGGGTCCACTTTTCGAGCTTCCGACGCTCCAAGACGTCCCAGGAGGTCCCCAAGACCGCCACAACACGGTCCCAGAGGCCCTCAAGAGGACCCCACGACGGCCCAAGAGTGCCCCAAGACGGCCCACGAGGCGCCTAAGGCTGCCTATGAGGGCCCCGAGACAGCCCCAAGAGGGACCCAAGAGAGGGAACACGAACCAAACATCGAAGCCTTACGCCCCAAGAGGCACACATGAGGTCCAAAGAACCCCCCTGGAGGCCCCGCGAGGTCCCCCAGAGGCCCCGAGAGGCCCCAGGACACGCTCAAATTCGCATCCAAGAGGCTCCCGAGCGGCGTCCGACGATATGCTCACATGCGTCCGAACGCCTCCACCCTGGGCACGCGGTGGCGGGATGGACTGAAGGGCATGAGGTGTGGTGTATTTGTATGCGTTGTATATATATATATATACACACATAAATGCACATAAATACTTATATACATGTATATATATATACATGTATATACGCACACACACACATACACACACACACACACACACGCAGTCAACATCTATCATATGGACAGGCGGGAAGGACAGAAGACCCTTGGAGGTCGAAATTGGGATGTGCTGGGCAGCGGGCGGCCAAAACCCCTGGGACACAAGACCCTTGGAGGTCGAAATTGGGGTGTGCTGGGCAGCGGGCGGCCAAACCCCCTGGGACGCAAAGGTACCCTGGCCCGCCCTCGTCCTCGCCGACTAGGCGCTGGGGCCCACAGCAAAACAACGCAAGGGCGCAAGGGTACCCTCAACATCCGCGCGTCACTCCGGACACTGCGCCATCGATGGCGCCTCAACACCACGCCCGCCCACAAATCGAGCGACGGGCGAGGACGAGGGCGCCACGCCGAAGGACGACCGAGGGTACCCTTGTAGCCCGCGTCCTTAGAACTGCCCTCCACAGGAACGCCCCGCCGCGCAGTCGAGGAACGGCGCGCGCCCCAAGGGTACCCCGAAAGGCTCGCCAGTGAAAACGGCCAAGGGCGGTCCGCAGAGGCAAGGACACAAGAGTACCCTAGGAAAGGCACGTGTCCTTGTCATGGGTTTTGACTGCACGCGTATACATCTACATCTACGTATCTATACGTGTATGTATATATATATATATATATATATATATATGTGTGTGTGTATGTGTACGTGTATGTATCTGTGTATGTATATATACGTGCATGTATGTAATTATAGAATTTGTCCAAGGCCTTCGGCCCATCCCGCCACCGAGCCTAGTTTGTGGGTCTGAGGCTTCTTGGGTGGTCGTTGGTATCTCGTCGAGGCCTCGCGGCGGCCTCCTGGAGGCAGGTTTGAAGTCTCTGGGGGACAATTTGGGAGTTTCTTTTGGCCCTCTCGGGGCCTCTTGGGGGCTTCCTCGGCCCTGATTTTGGCCTCCAGGCGGCATCGGACCTTTTGGGGGCCTGCTGGCCGTCTCGGGAATCATCTTTGGGCGCAGGGCGCGAAATGTTACTTCGAGCTCATCTCTTGGAACTCTTTTGGGTTCCTCTTGAGCCGACTGGGAAGCCTCTTGGGCCGTACTGGGCCCCGATTGGGCCGTCTGGGAGCCCTTTGGGGGGGCCTCGTGGGTCGTCTTGGGGTGATCTGGGAAGCCTCGTGGGCCGTGCCGAAGCGCCCGAAGCATGAAAAGGCGAGAACGCTGACTTGGGCGTCTAGGGGCCCTCTAGAGGTGGGGGCTCTTGGCTCTTAGAACCTTTGTAGGACTTGTTGAGCTGTCGTGGCAGCGTCTGGAAAAATGCTGTGCCGTCTGAAGCAAACATGGGCTGTCTTCAGGGTCTCTTGGCTCCAACCTGTGGCTGTCTTCACTGTTACAGCCTTCCGTTTTCCAGCTCCTGCTTGTCACCGCCCGCCAAAAACACCGCAACCCAACCCGAAGGCCCCGATTTGCCCTCCATTTCCAGTGGGCGGGGGCATCGGAGTACAATTTAAAAACAAAAAAAAAAACGTGTGGAGCCCGTGACCCCCCCCCCAAACCCGAAATTCGGGTCTTCGGGCTGGGTTGGGGCGGTCCGGCAGGTAGTCAGCTTGCCTTCGACCTCTCCAGCTGTCCAGCTTTCAGCGCTCTACGGCCGTCTTCAACCGTATAGAGACTGAACGACCCCCCTCCGAAAAGGCAGAACACGGGCCACAGACCCTGGGGGCTGACGTTTCAGCAAACGGCCGATCGTTCAAGGTTGAGCGATCCCCGCGGTGTCAGGAACCAACACCGCATTGGGTGCCAAGGGGTGTGGCCCCATTTGTCATTGTGTCCGGGAGGCGGACGGGGGCCGAACACTCCGATATTACATACATGTATAGACATGTGTGTACGTATGCCTGCATGCATGCATGCATGCATGAGTGCATGTATGTACGTGCATGTGCATGCATGCATGTTTGTGTGTATGCACGTAGGCACGTGTGTATATATATATATATATGTGTGTACAAATGTAAATAGACAGGTGGGTAGGTAGGTCGGTATGCATGTGTGTGTGTCTGGATAGGCGTGTGTGCATGTCCGTTTGTATGTATACATATAAGCAGGCATGCCTGGTTGTAGGCATGCATGCATGGATGTGTGTGTGTGTGTGCATGCATGTGTGTATGTATGCAGGTGTATATGTCTGTCTATCTGTCTGCCTGTCTGTCAGTCTGTCTGTCTGTCTGTCTGTCTGTATGCATGTTTGCGTGCATGCATGTACGTATGGCTGTATGTATGTATATGTGCCTGTACTTGTGTGTAGGTGTGTATGCATGCATGCACGTGTGCATGTAAGCATGTATGCGTGTGTGTATGTATGTATGCATGTATGCTTGTCTGTGTATGTGTGTATGAATGAATGTGTGCATGTATGCATGAGTACATGTGTGTATGAATGTATGTGTATGCACAAATGTATGTATGTACGTACGCACGTATGTATGTATGTATGCCTGCATGTATGTATGTATGCATGTATGTATGTATGTATGTATGTATGTATGTGTGAATGTATGTATGTCTGTCTGTCTGTCTGTCTGTCTGTCTGCCTGTCTGTCTGTCTGTATGCATGTATGTGTGTGTATGTATATATGTATGTATGTATGTATGTATGTATGTATGTATGTATGTATGTATGTATGTATGTATGTATGCATATATGTGTGTATGTCGGTAGGTAGGTCGGTAGGGAGGTAGGTGGGTATGGATGGTTGTATGCATGTATGTGTGTTTCGGTGCGTCCTTCGGCCTGGAGGCATGCATACCAACACGAGGCAGGAAGCGACTCCTTACAGCTCAACAATATATTCTAACCTCCTTCTCCCTCTCCTCACTCGTCACTCCTGCCTCCGCGAATCCGGCTGCTGATGCTGCTCCCCTCCCTCTTCTGCTTCGCCTTGCAAGAGTCCGCACTTCTACTCCCCCTCTGTTCTCCTGCCTCCTCCCTCCTCCCTCCTCCCTCCTCCCTCCTCCTCCTCCTCCTCCTCCTCCTCCTCCTCCTCCTCTTCCTGCTCCTCATTCTCCTCATCCTCCTCCTCAGAGACCCTCGAACCACCCTCCACCTTCTTCCACCTCCAGCAGCCTCCAGGGACCTCCGGAAACATTGGACAATTCCCGAGAACCTCTGGAATCCTGTGGGGGGGCCTCAGGCAAGTAGCCGAAATCATGCGGAAAGCACCGGACCTCCTCCCTTCCTCGTGGGCCCCGTGGCGGCCGCAACGGTCTTAGAGCATCCTGCCACTCTGGATGCCTTCCAGCTCCCCCTCCTCCCCCCTGCCTCTCCCCCCCCTTCCTCCTTCCTCATCTCTCACATCTTGAACCCTCCACCAACCGAAGGAAGCTTACCTACACCTAGACCCAAACCACCCAAAAGCAACCAAACACCACATACAACATAATACAAACATCCAGATCCCCCCCTCCTCCTTCTCCTCCTCTTCCTCCTGCTCTTCCTCCTCCTCCTCCTCCTCCTCCTCCTCATCCTCCTATTGTTCGTCCTCCTCCCTCCTCCTCCTCCTCCTCCTCCCCCTCCTCCTCCTATTGTTCGTCCTCCTCCTCCTCCTCCTCCTCCTCCTCCTCCTCCTCCTCCTCCTCCTCCTTCTCTTCATCTTCGTCCTCTTCATCCTGCTCCTTCTGTCTCGAAGCCTTGAGCCATCGAGCAGTTGACCCTGTCCCCCCTCGAACCTTCGATCCCTTGACCCATCTCTAGAACCCTCGACTTTGCTCCCGTGCCCCCATCCCTCCGCCGTCCTCCTGTCCTCCTGTCCTCTTCCTCGCCTTTCACCTGCTCTCCTGTCCTCCGTCCTGCTCCTCCAACTTTTATTTCTCTGCCCTGTGTGCTCGGGAACCCTCGACCCTGCTCCCGCATATGCCCCCCCTCTCTCCTCTGTCCTCCTGTCCTCCGCCCTCCTCGTGCCATCATGACACACCCTCCATGCCGATCCAGCCCCCCCCCCTCCTCCAGAGGAACAAGCATCAGAATTCGCCGACCCCCCATTGCCGGAGGCGAGAAGGCGTGTGAGATGACTGGCTGCCCCCCTGCCCCTTGCCCCCTGCCCCAGGCTCCAGAATCCCGTGTAAGGTGGGGGAGACGGGGGGGGGAGAAGGGGAGGCGCACCTCCCGGAGACTCTGGAGCTTCCAACTCTGCCCACCGTTGCCTCAAAAACGTTCCAAGACGTTCCCGAATCGCGGAACGATTACTCCAGGGTTCGTAAGAAAGGGGAGGGGGTCACAACCCTCTCAGACGAGAAGTTTTAGACACCCCCAGACCATCCACGAAAGAGCGGCCCTTTGCCCAGACCCCCCCCCCGAACCCTCAAGACAGCTCAAATCAGACCCCCCCCGAATGTGACCCCCACCACTTTATTGTGGAATCCGGAGTAGCCAAAGACGCTTACGATGGCTCCAAGACGCCCCAAGACGCCTGCGAGATGCTCCAAGAGCCTTCCCAAGAGGGCCCCGACAGGCAAGCATCACTGGCCGTCCGCTACTTGTATTTTCTGGGGGAATCGTCTTCTCGAGCTTCCGACGCTCCAAGACGGCCCAAGAGGCCCCGTAGATCGCACCACAATTGCCCAAGAGGCCAATACGAGGGCCCCAGGACGACACAAGAGGGCTCCAAGACAGCCCAAAAGAGGGGCCCAAGACGGCCAAAGATCGCCCCAAGAGGGCCCCAAGAGAGGCGAAGAGGGAAAACACGTACCGAATATCCGATCTTTCCGCCCAAAGAGGCCCGCCCCCCAAAGGCCCCAAGACCAAGTGGCCCAAAAGAGGCCCCTAATAAGGCCCAAGAGGCCCCCAAAAGGCCCAGAAGAGGCCGCATGGCGGACCGCAACACGCCTCAAAACCGCCTCCAAGAGGCTCAGCCAGGCCCACAAACAGGTCCCAAGACGCCCACAAGAATCCCCACATAGTCTCAAGAAGCCCACGACGCCTCAATCGTGGACTCCTCGCCTCTTCTGGGGGTCTGCGGAATGCCGTAAGCCTCTTGGAGAAAGCTAAGCTGTCGGCAGACAACAGGGATTTCTTGGATTGGCGTTGGACCCCCTGGCGGTGCCTCTGGCGCCGTCCCCCTGGCATGCTGCGCGTCCCAGGGGCGGCCTGAGCATCTGAAACACTCCGAGGGGAGACCAGAACCCAATTCGCCCATAACGGTTCCGAAACACCCAGAAAGGCCCAGGCATGTCCAGAAGAAACACATGCAGCAAACAAATGTATATGTATGCCGTGATCCATACCCACACACATACATACATACACATACCTATGCAAGTGCATATGTGTATGCATGTACATATTTATATATAAGTCACCTATTAGTACACATGCAGCTACATCTACATACTCCTGTACACATACGTACACGTATACATCTACGTATACAGATCGGTATGCGGTTTCTTTCGATTCATATATATATAGATATATAGGGAGATGTACCGAAAAGTATTCAGACATCGGAATCTACGCGGATTTCTTGGACGGCCGCTGGACTCCCCTCGCTACCGTGGGCAGCGTGCCAGGGGAGACACCGAAGGCGCCGCCGGAGGAGCCAAGCGCCAGATCCAAGAAGTCCGCGGGGACCTGCCAGAACGTGTGGTCAGGCCGACTGCTGCTCTTCGACCCTCCCCGCTCCTGGGCACCACCGTGGACAAAGGGAAGACAACTGAGCCTACTCCTCCTTCTCCTCCTCCTCCTCCTCCTCCTCCGCCTCCTCCTCCCTCCTCCTCCTCCTCCTCCTCCTCCCCCTCCTCCTCCTCCTCCTCCTCCTCCTCCTCCTCCCCCTCCCCCTCCTCCACCTCCTCCCGGTCGGGGGAGAAACGGCTCAGACGATGATGACCCGCGGCGGCCACGGGAAGCCTTCAGAGGTGATCTGCACTGGCGGTGGCGACGAAGACGACGACGGCTGCCCTGTCGGGGAGAGGTAGGACTCGATGGGGCCGTGCGACAAGAGACGGCCCCCAACCTGAAAATGGACGCGAGCCCCCGCCGCAGACCAGAGCGGACCGTCAAAACTCCCAGGACCATCCACATGCGGCGGCGGCGAGCCCCAGTCGTACCTATGCGCCTCTCCGACTCTGGGCCCTGCGGCGACGGCGGCGGCCGCGGCCTATGTAGGTGATCTGCACCGGCGCCGGCTTCAGGGCCTCGCACAGAGGGGGCGCTGGGGCTGCCCTGAGGCGGCGCGGCCCGCACAGTCCGCCGCAATCGTCGGCGGCGGCGGCTTCGGCAGAAAGTCGGAGGAGGAGGAGGAGTAGGAGGAGGAGGAGGGGGAGGAGGAGGAGGAGGAGGAGGAGGAGGAGGAGGACAAAAACATGGACAAAAGGAGGAGGAGGAAGAGGTGCCCCCTCGCGTCATGGGCAAAGACACGACGGGAGGGCTCTGGCAGCAGCGTCTGCCCTCGGGGGCGCTCGCCGGTCCCCGTGAGCGTCAAGAGACGAGCCGGGGTGAGCAGCTCGTCCCAGTGAGGGGTCTACGCCTCCGGCAGTCTACGTTATGACAGAAATCACGACGAGGGAAAACTGGGAACCTGGCGAGGAAGACGGGGGGGGGAGCCGAGGACCCAGGACTGACCCCACGAAGGGCCGGGGAGGAAGGAGCTCTGAAGAGGCAGGGCGAGGAGGAAGAAATGTTTTCAGGAACTTTGTCGCCCCGATACGCAACACGCAGCCCGTGGGGTATTGAAGCAGGGCTCAACACGGATACTGAAAATACACGTTTGGCGCGATGCTTGCGCCCAAACGTGGGGCAACACGGTGAGCCGACACACGGCGTCTCAACATTGACGTATCGCGTATCGCAGCAGCTGAGCTCAAGAATCGGACGACGGAGAGGAGGCGAGGAAGAACGAACGACTCCCGCCTGAGGCGAGCCAGCTTCAGGCTGCTGCCAGCGCGGGCAGCCCCGGTGCCCCTCGCGCGCTCCTCCCGAGCAACAGTGCGCGGCGAAGAATAGAATGCGCCAATTCCACAGCAGCTGCCGAGGACGATCCAGTGGCTGCGCTCCGCAACTTCTGCTGAGCGTGTCGCCACGGCGGCCCCGGCGAGACGCTATGCCATGCGAGCGGATAGCGTGTCGCGCCGCTCCGCGGGGCGGGAGGCTCGGAAAAACTCGAGACGTTGACGCCTGGGGCCCGGGACGTGGATAGCGTGTCGCGCCGCAGCGTGTAAGGCTAGAACAGGCGGAGCGACAATATTCAAAACATCCCGACCGTACCTCTTCTCGTCGAGTGCCCTCACGCACTGCTGCCGTGCGCACGCGCGCGCACGCGTGCCGAAACGCAAATTGGCATCAATTCTCCTGCAGGAGATGTTGGTCGCCATGGTGACAGGAAGCCGGAAGCACACATAGATGGATTCAGACGCGGAACATCTGGAAACCACGCGAGGGGTACACCTGCGGGTGGCCAGCGTACCTGGGCACAGAAGGGCCGAGTGCTGACAAACTATGTGGCCATATGTGTATCCAACTCTCGCCCATGCCAACAACATCATGTGTATCCAGCTTCCCGGTAGGCTCCTGCCACTTTGGCGCTGCCCGCTCAACAGGCAAACGGCACCCCAACTTGCCTTGCCAACGCTTCCAACAAGAGGTCTTGTGACACCGATGCCCGACTCAGTGGGACCGTCGATGGGCAGAATCAATTGGGGCCAACTCGGGGGATATGACGTGGGAGGCGTCCATTCCCGATAGGGGTGCGTCCGAGTAGACCCCGCGAAACCTTTCAGTGCTGGCTGTGGTGGGCTCTTGAGATGGTGGGCCCCTGAAGCTTCTTAGGACAAGAATCACACACACGCCCCCCCCCCGCACAGAACCCCCTTAGCGCACTGGAGCTCCCAACCCTTCGAACCTTCAACAACACAGATGAAACGTCATGATGGACCATCCTCCTACGCTCCCTGCTACCAATATTTCATTCCTCTTTCACCCGCCTCCTCTTCCTCCTCTCCTGAAATAGAAAAAAAAAAGTCGAGTGCGGGGCGGGAGGGGACAATGGGGGGCAAGGGGAGAAGGAGAATGACGACAACGTCTGCGACAACGACGCCAATGACGACGACGAAGACGACGACGACGACGGCGGCGACGACGACGACAAGGACGGCGACGTCGCCACCGCCGCCGCCGACGCCGACGCCGATACCGACGCTGACGCCGACGCCGATGCCGACGCCGACGACGATGATGACGACGACAGCGATGACGACGGCGACGACGTCGACGCAAACGCCGACGCCGATAGCAGACAACCATGGCGAGGACGACGACGGCGAACACGACGACGAGGACGACGATGACGACAAGGACGACGAGGACGACAAGGACAACGAGGTCGATGAAGTCGACGAGGACGAGAACGATGACGAAGGCGAAGGCGATGGCCAGGATGAGGACGACGATGAAGACGACGACGACGACGACAAAGCCGACGACGACGACGACAAAGACAAAGACGACGACGACACCGACGACGACGACCACGACGACGACCACGACGATGACGACGACGACGACGACCGACGACGACAAAGACGAAGACGACGACGACAACGACCGACGACGACAAAGACGACGACGACGACAAAGACGACAAAGACGACAACGACGACAAAGACGACACATATGTCAGGGGGGCGTAAGACCCGGGTACAGGGGACTCGGAAATCCCAGACGAGGTCGTCAAAAAAATGACGAGGCCAAGCCTG